TGGGTAATGGAGTGATTTATTGGCAAGATGTTCTTCCAGCCAGGAAACCCACCTTTCCTTCTGTCTGAAACTGTAAAAAGGGTAATAAAGAGTTATGGGATGTAACTATTTCTGGCAGTACAGCATGGTGCCTGCTGCCTGGGGACTGAATGAGAAATGTACTCAGCATTGGTACTCCAAGACCTGAGTGCTGTAACCCAAAGCACTCCCAATTGCTTCCCAGCAGGGATGTAGCTGCCCACAGGTTTCCAGAGATCTCTGCTTTGGTTCAGAGTGTTGGAAGAAAAGATGCAGATTGAAAAGGCTTTGGAGGCTGGTGTTGGTGGCCCTGCCTGTGTGCGGGGGTGTTGGAGCTTCATGATCCTTGAGGTCTCTTCCAACCTGGGCCATTCTGTCGTTCTGATCTGAGTTGTATCACTGCCTGGGGACAGCTCTCAGTCCCCATTAAGGGCAGCTCCTTGGGCCAAGAGCCAGCACTGCCACTGCCTTTGCTCTGAGCAGAATGTGGTACCCATGGCCTTGTGCCTGCAATTATACACATACTAAGAAAGGCAGAGAGCAACAGAGGGGACAGAAGCATGCTCAGGGGCTAGTGTTAACACAGAAGAATTGAGGCCAGGCTTTATGCAATCCTTCATTTACTCCAGGCAAGGAAGGTTTCAGAGATCTGAATCCTCTGTTTTAGAATCATAGAATCATTAAGATTGGAAAAGACCTCTAAAACCATCTAGTCATACAATCAGCCCATCCCCACCATGCCCAATGCCCATGTCCCTCAGTGCCACATCCACATGGCTCTGGAACACCTCCAGGGACGGTGACTGCACCACCTCCCTGGGCAGCCTGTGCCTCGCCAGCACCACTCTTTCTGAGCGTACATTTTTTCCTGATATCCAACCTGAAACTCCCTTGGCACAACTTGATGCCATTCCCCCTTATCCTATCGCTGTTATCTGAGGGAAGATGTCAACCCCTACCTTGTCACAATCTCCTTTCATGTAATTGTCGAGAGCGATGAGGTCTCCCCTGAACCCCTCCAGACTGACCAACCCCAATTCCCTCAGCCACTCCCCATCAGACTTGTGCTCCAGACCCCTCACATCTCCACTGCCCTCCTCTGGACACACTCCAGGGCCTCCAAGCCTTTCTAGTAGTGGGGGGTCCAAAACCGAACACCTGAGGTATGACCTCACCAGTGCTAAGCACACCTCCCTGCTCCTGATGGCTGCAGTATTTCTGATACAAACCAGGATGCCGTTGGCCTTGGCCACCTGGACACGCTGCTGATTTATGTTCAGCTAGCTGCCAGCTAAGACTCCAGATCCTTTTCCTCCATGTATCTTTCCAGCTGCTCTGTCCCAAACCTGCAGTGCTGCATGTAGTTGTGATTACACTGCAGGACCCAGCACTGGGTCTTGATGAAGCCCATACAACTGGCCTCAGCCCACTGATCTAGCCTGTCCAGATCCCTCTGTAGAGCTTTCATATCCTCAGGCAGATTAACACTTCCTGCAGCGTGGTGTCATCTGCAAACTTAGTGAGGTTATTTCAAACACTGCACTTTCTTGCTTTCAGTCTCCCTCCTTTGCCTTTCAGACTTATCACAAAAACCCCATGTCTTCTAGCATGTACCTTCACAACTGCTGGCAGGCTGGTTTTCTCCCTGCGAGCATGCTCAGGTTTGATAATTTCCTACAGCTTCACTGACTCAGGTAACGAGCTGCTGATCTGTGCATCAGGGCTTGGGCAGTACTGTGCATGCACCCACAGCCAAATCCTCATCTGCAGGAGCTGCAGCCCTCCCTCCTGTCCGTTCCCTCCTCCCCTCCTGGCACAGGGCAGGTGAACAGGTTCCTCAGGTTGTACTTCGAGAGTAGTGCAGGAGGCTCAGGCTGACATCCCAGCCCATATACGGGCTGAGGCAGAGTCCAGGCTGCTACGTCAGCTCCCAGCACAGTTTGAAGTGTGAGAAAGGAATCAGGACTTCAGTTTCCCTGAAGGAGAGGAAGGAAGAAAATGCTTCTGCTTAGCTGTGCAGGCAAAGCTGCGCAGAAAGCAGGGGAGGAGGGGCACTGCAACCCCAGCTGCACCAGCATCCCCTTTTAGGAGTAGGCACCAGTGCAAGGCTACCCATATATCTCTGTATGAAAGGAAGGGCACATAGAATCACAGAATTAAGTTGGGAGAGGTCCTTGAAGACCATCTGGTCCGACTCTCCTGCAATGAACAGGAATATCACAGCTCTATTAGGGTGCTCAGAGCTCCTCCAGCTTGACCTTGGGTGTCTGCAGGGACAGGGCATCCACCACCTCTCTGGGCAATCTGTGCCAATGCCTTAACAACCATATTGAAATAAAATTGATATCCAGTCTAGGTCTCTCCTCTCCACATCAACTTCCACGCTTTGTTTGCTAAGTTACTAAATGCTAGATGAAGTGCTGGCGGAAGATTTCATTTCCCTTTCCTGGTCCTAGTCTATGCAATTAAGATGAGTGATTATATTAGTTTCTGAATTTTATACCCAACGTGAACCAAAGAAGACTCCTGGGCTTTGGGAGGGAGCAGGCAGCTCAGCACCACCTCAGCTAACAGCAGCTCCAGGAGCACTTGTCAGTGTTTTGAGGATGCCAGGAGGTTCCCACCGCCTCCTGCAGCACTGAGGACAATGCACCTGCTGCAGGTGCCTTCAGCATCACAGCCTGTTCCTTATCTGCCCCAAACCTTCCACTGCTGCCTCTCCAGGCAAAAGAAAAGAAAAACACAAAACAAATGAAAAAAAACCCAACCAACCAAACAACAAAACCCCAAAATCTCTGAGGCGGTGGCACTCAGAACCACTCAAGCTTGGACAGTGCTCAGGAGAGCAAAGAAAACGCCAGCTCTGGGCAGTGCCTGAATGTAATTGAAGCCTCCTCTGTGTGAGAGGGGAGCGTGCTGGCACATGCTGCAGGAGGGATATCGCTTTCTCTGCCTGCTTTGAAGGCTGAGGGGAGGGAGAGAGAGAAGAAGAGGCCAGTTAAGAGTGTTTATGTTTGGGAGGAACAAAGGAGAGCGGAGGAGAGGCCTGTGCCAGAGATGTGTCAGAGATCACTTGTTCCTCCTGGGCCAGGCCACCAGCCCAGGACCACCGGCGGAGGAAGAAGCAGTGTGTGTGAGGAGCAGCGTGTAAAGCAGAGAGAGGAGGGAGATAGCAGATAAAAGTGACACTGGTTAGATGCCAGGTTCCCAAGCAGCTGGTGTGGGATGCAGAGCAAACACACCACAAGCCTGCAGCTTGTTGGGTCTTGGTATGAGACTCTTTCAGACATGAAAAAACCCAAAGTAGTTTTCTATTTGCTGCTTAATGCTGCACTAACGGTGCAGGAACAGCACCTGCACAGACCTCTGAGTGCACCATGAGCAGCAAGTTCCTGGCAAGGGAGGAAGCTGTACAGCCCATACTGCACAGCCCAGCAGTGAGCCCTGCAAGCACAGTGCAGGAAGGTGCTGTCACCAGAAATGATACCTACCACTTCCTAGAGGCAGAAGTATCACTGCTTTGGCAAGTCCATTTGTAAGATGAGCCCCAAGGACCAGCAAACTTTTCTGCTGCAGGTCATCATACAGATGACTGAATCAACCAGTTTGGCACTGGATGCATGACTGATGTTAGGCAATTCCAGCAGCGTAAGACAGACCCAGATCTCCTACCTACTGCTTCCCGATATAAGAAGAAAAAAAGAACTCCCAAAAATTGTTCACCGAAGGTTTGTCAGTCTTCTGGGGCAAGGAATGGAGGCATATCATATGATCACACATAAACAGATGCTTCCGAGTTCCTGTTACCTTTTACTGAGGCAGAGTTGGTTGAATAACCATGTGGGCCCTTTGGTGTTGCAGAGATGTTTCAACCTTTTTCAGTAGGTATTTTAAAATAAGGTATTTTACCTTTTTAAAGACAGCCTTTAATCAGAACATCCAAGTTTAAATACAAGTGACATAACTGGGAGGCATCTTTCATTTTTACTTACTTTTCAGGTGGTTAGGAAACCAACAGTCACCTCTGTACAGCACGATATACAACCAAAACTAATAGTAGCTTTGCAACGGGAAACCAAAATTGCCCCCACTTTTTGATTTCTTGAAGGCTAGTGCATGAATGTTGATGATCAGAAGAGGCTTAAGGCATAGATATGAGAGAGCATCTACATGGTACAGAGGATTTGTGTTAGTAAGAAATTGAAATTTGTTTCAGCTGCAAAGGTAGGTAAATCTAAAATGATAGGAAAGGAGAAGTGTTTGAGAAATGCTTCCTTGTTTTTAAATACAAACATTTTAAGAGCTCCCCTGCATTCCACATCAAAGAGTCTGCAGTATTTAGACAGAAACTGCAGAACAGAACATGTACTTCTGCATAAGACTGTGACCAACAATTTGTCTTTCAGTCAGTGTCTCCACAACTCTATTTCACATTGTCAAGTGAAATGATTTTTGTTTGAAACCCGGTGAGTCCATCTCAAACCTCAGAGATGGAGCAATTCCACTTCAGAAAGCTGGAAACAAGACACCTTCTTTAAACCAAAGATGGAATCAAAGGAATCAAGGCATGTACTGCTTCTGAACTTGCAGCTAATATGATACGGAAACTTAAGACACTGGTAAACATAATGATTAAGGCAACAAAATGCTGTTACGCCTCCTGAGATCAACCTAAACCTAAAGGGATGCTTCCTCAAAAGGCAGTCAAGTCCACTCATCACTATTTGCTTCCTTTACACGAATTTCTGGCAGAGATAGCTCCCTTCTTGCTTTTAGTTTTATGCTCCTCCTGCTGCCCTCTTGTGTCTGCATACACACTTACAGGCTTCCTTCTCTGCATCCTGCAAAAAAAAAATCTGCCACCTGCACATTTCTTTGCAAGGTCCATCAGATGAAGTCACAAGATGTCCAGGGTTCCACGCTGGTATATGCACTTAGAAGTGGACAACAGCCACAGAATAAACATGACACAGACACCGCAGTATCCATCTTCCCATTTTATTTATAATATCCAATATGATCTAGTGGGGATGGTCAGCTCCCACTCCAGCTTTATTTAATTAAAGAAAAAACATCAGCTGAAAGCAGTCTCATCCTACTGGGCCTGACTCTGCAACTGGACTCATTTCAATCAGTTGCTGGACACAGTGAATAACACTATCCAACCCAACTTTCACACACTTAGGACTTTTCAAAACACTGGATCTCTAAGCTGTGAAATTGCAATTTTATTGGGCAAACAAGACCTTTCAAAATAACATTTCTACCAGCATATACACAATACTGCAGACCCCCACTTGGACACAGCCAAGCACATCACGTGCTGTGGTACATGGTAGAGAGTGGGGGGAGAGAAGAAGACTGCGCCTCAAGCCTAGCTAGTCCCTCTCAGCCCAAGTGGGAGACCACTCCCAACTGTATTTTTTATTCAACTGCCAGAAAACATGCAGCAATATAGATATCTGCAAACAGAGAGACCTCTCCCTGCCCAGAGGTGCTATACCCTGCCTATCAGGGTACTTCTGCACATGGAAAGAGCTCCAGGCACTCAGGTGCAGAGATGGGAGGTCTGGCTCATATGTCACCTTTGCTGATGGTGGTGGTCTTGCAGCACAGTAATTAGTGGAGCTCAGGAAAGTCAGAAGTTCTGCCTTCGGAACAACCATCCAAATGGGGGGAGAAACTGCATACAAAACAAGACTGATTTCTTTACCCTTTCCATAAGAAAAGAACACCACATAACAAGGAGCTGGAGCCATTATTTATGTCTAGATGTGGTTAAAAATAGGGGCATCCTCAACTGCTGTGTTTCCATAACAGTGATGTAATATCTGAGTAGATTATTGAGTCCAAATGTATGGGAAGATGATGATTTTGCAGACGTTTTGCAGAAGGCCTACAGATGTTGGTGGGTTTCTGCTGCTGTGTCAATTCCTAGCCTTTTATAACAGCAATAGGTCTCAACTTAATGGCTTTCTTGCTGATGCCAGCTGCATGGCAGGTATTAACGACATCTGTCACATTCTTGTAAGACTCAGGTGCCTGGAGGGGGAAGAGAGAAAAAGAAAACACTGTAAACAGCCCAAAGTCACAGGAAGATAGATACAGGCTTTGGATATCTCTTCCTTTCTTCATAAAAACTGAACCATATGCATTGAGGTTGTAAAAGAAGGTGGACATATTGAAAATCTAGACATATTAGACATTCAAAATCTAAGATATATTTGGTTTTAGAATTCAACTTTTACCACATTCCAGATAAGATACTAGCTCTTTTGGTTCTGTTTTCCTAATGTTCTCAGATAATCCAATACACTAGCAGGCAGTAATGCTGGGACTCAGCATTTGGCAGGAAGTCACTCCAACTTCCTCCTTCCAGATAGCCCTTAGGATTTATCTTCACTGCCTCTCAGTGACAAGAAACAGGGATGAACTCTTGAGCTCTTCCTCCAGTATTTTATTAGGAAGCCACCCTTAAATAGAGATTTTAATAGGACAAACAGGTTTGTACAATACTAACACCCATAAAAGCAGTTATACATGATTGATTATAAATGAAGATGTGATCACAATAAATCAGAACTGAAGTCATAACAATCAAATTTTTCTAGTCAGTTAAAGTTCTCTTCCTGAGGAGAAAGAGGACTTTGTCTTAAAAGGCAGACTGCATACATAAATTCATGCACTGCAATGAATTTACATAACAACTACAGTATACACTAAATTCAAAACTGGGAGAACATCATTTAGAAGGAAGAGAGCCCACAAAAGGTAACAACTTCGTGACGATCCCACAAAGATTTTTCAGAGTCAAGGGTTACTATCTCTATTGTCAGGCAGGAAAAGAGGGAAAAAACATATCCCTTGAAACTGCCAAATAATCTACTTCTGGTAGGACTTTGGGGACAGGGAAAACTTCATACTGCTTTCCAGAAAATTGGATAAGTCTATCAGAAATTGCAGAAGCTGTACATATAGGCAAGTAGTGATTAACCAGCACTGTCAAGAATTAAGTGATAGAGGGTCATTCAGTCAAGGAGCAAGATTCTCTTCTCCCCTCTCAGATAACAAAGTATTAAACTCACTTCTTCCATGACCAGTTTGGGAGAAGCAACACGGATGGCAATGCCCATGTCAGCCAGTTTGTCCAGTACATCCTGGAAGTCCAAGTTACGTCGAGATTTGGCTCGAGACAGTGCACGACCCTAGAAAGTAGATTAGTTAGTTCTGGTTTTTTTTGTGGTAGTTTGGAAAAACACCACTCTTTCTTACTACATAAAGAAGAAATCAACAGATATGCTCAAGAAAACTAAGCTGCATTTCCAACTGCGTTGAACAAAATGAAAGACCTTTTGTCAGGACTACCACAAATGTAAGTGGTTGTAACTGCTGATGAGGAAGCAGACATCTAGGACAGATCCCCTGGAATAGTATTGGGTGAAGTTTGACATCTGGTGCTATATCTAGCACATAATCTCTAATCAGTACACATTATAAGCAAACAGAATAGCTGATGACACAGACCAAGGTAAGCCACAAAATGGGAAATTCAGATGACAAGCTTCTGCATAATCAGGTACTATGGCTAGGAAAGTTCTGTATTTAAATACTCTAGCCTTTTTGCTCAAACCATGTCAGGCTGTGCTCACGATTCAGTTTTACTAGAAACTGTTTCTTTTCCTCAGTCATCCTTGTTGCACAATGTTAAAAAAGGAGAAAATATCTTCTTCCAGCTACTGAGGAATTTTATATAAACAGTCTCAGCATCATGAATTGTTCTTGTTAGCTCAGATACCGGGATTTTGAAAAAGGAGATCATTCTTGACATACTCATATTAACCTTTGATTCATATAAAGGAGCACCCCCTAAATTTTCTTGGACTACAGTGGTAAGAACCCCTGTATTACCAACAAATGAATCAGACACTGAATGACCCTTTAACAACCCTGTTCACTGGATGATTTTCCCATCCAAACATCTTCCTGAAATGCTTTTTCACTTACAGCTCCGTGGCAAGTAGTTCCGAACGTCTCAGTCATGCCTTGCTCTGTGCCAGTAAGAACGTAGCTACACGTGCCCATAGTCCCACCAATCAGAACAGGCTGTCCAGTCAGCTGTGGATGCAAACAAGTCTTAATTCACCAAGCAAAAGCCTAAGCAACTCATTAATAAACGACTGAGAGGAGTTACATCTCCAAAAGAAGCAGCTAGATTTAGACTCCCTCAGAGCATCCCCACTTGCCTTAGGTGCCTGGTATGAAGGATTTTGGAGACCAAAATGCACTGAAAGATGTACACCAGTGTATCAAAAAGACTTGGGTCCAACAGACAGACAAAGCAAATGACTGCAGCCTGCCATAGATATAAAACCTTCATGACTTTTCAGCCACTGCAATTGTGGAGTGCAAGACTGAGTTCAGTATTCCAAAGATCAAATAATACACACATAAGCAGAATTATGCCATTCCATAAGATTTCCAGTGCTATTAACTCAAAGAAAGGAACTCACAGAGTTTAGATCTCTGTTAAACACTCTAAAATTATCTGATTCATCCAAAAATTCCGTTTTCCTTCTCCTACAGCTAAACTTACTTGATAATCAACAGCAATAAGAGGATGGTGAGGAGGGAAGGCTCTGGTTGATCCTTTTCTGTGCACCAGTAGAGTCCTTTCCTTCCCGTCCACTACGTGTTGCTCCACTTTGGCAATGTTGTGAGACACATCGTAGATAACGTGCATATCGAGGTCATCTGGGGTTGTGTTGAAGACTTTGGCAAAAGCCTAAAATGAGAACAAACCATGACATGGAATACAAGAGGAGAACTGCAGTGTACACGCAGAAGCTAAAAAATACTTTAAAAAATTAAAATCATAGAATGGCCTGCATTGAAAAGGACCTCAAAGATCACCTAGTTTCAACCCCCCTGCTATGTACAGGGTCGCCAACCACCAGACCAGGCTGCCCAGAGCCACATCCAGCCTGGCCTTGGCCTTCCAGGCTGCAAGCACACACTGCTGGCTCATGTCCAGCTTCTCATCCACTGGGGCCTTCAAGTCCTTCTCTGCAGGGCTGCCCTCAAAGGGTTCTTCGCCCAGTTGGTATAAACACCCAGGAACAGATTTGTGTGAAAATGTCTCTTACTGATAAGCCAGTGATAAACCAGTGACCTAAACACTTGGCATGGCAGGTAAGAACCCTCAGTCAATTTCAGCCACGAAGAAATTGAGTGCAGAGTGTGACAGAAATGGACTGTCCAGACTTATCTGCCCATCAACAGCTTTAACATTAGAATTTAATCTGAAATCAACTCGACAAATTCTGGCAACTCTGAAAAAGATGGTTTTGGTAGTTTAAAAAGGAGAATCTTCTTGCACCTTCCTCTTCCAGGAAATACTGGTGACGGATGGACGTTGGACTGGATGACCCTGGCAGTCTTTTCCAGCCTTGGTGATTCTATGACTCTGTTATGCAGCTACTGTGTATTCCATACGCCTTGGATAAAGCATGATGTGCACCAGAACATTTACACCAGAGGCAACTCTGCTCATACCTGTCTTGTTAAGAAAGTCATAGAAGAGCGGTTGACCCACGCATAGTTTCCAGCAGCTGCCATTCCCTTCAAGTAATCCTGTCCCTCCACAGAGGCAATCCTGGCACACGCTAGCTGGCGATCGTTCACTATGATTTTGTCCCGTTTCATAGCTTTTTCCATAGCCACCAATGCATCTAGGAAATAAGCAGATTTCTAAGAGACTTCTTCATTTTGTTTCAGTCTATGGGATTAACACAAGTCTCTACAAGTTATACTCAAAAAACTGAACACATCTGTCCAGTGGTCAAACCTACAGCTTCCTCTCAAACAGTAATTTTGTGGCAGAATATTGTTGTTTACAAACAGCATTCCCTAAGACTACTTTTAGAAAGGAAAGTTCAGGGTCTGAGGTGTACCAGAAAGAATTCTCCGCTCAGACAAACGTAGTTCAGCCTGTTGATATCTACTAATAATCTAAGCACTTTATTACATTCAAAACAATAAAGGCAACTGTAAATCTTTTTTTGACCCAACAGTTTAGTTGTTTCTTTTTTCTGCCATAAGAGTGTCTGCCTTTGTTACACCAAATATTAAGACTTCACAATCCTAAGCAAATATGTTTGAAGAGAGCCCCTGAACCAAAGGATTCAGTGAAAATCTCCCTCCACTCTTAATCATACAAGAACAGAGTTTAGAAGGGACTTCTGGGAGTTACTATCACTTGCTCAGAGCAGTGCCAGTTGGACAAGGCTGCTCAGGGACTGAGTCAAGTTCTGAATATCTCCAAGAATGCTGGTTCTACAACTTCTGTACACATCCTTTTCCAGCATTTGAGGAAAGGGAAAACAGAGGGAGACAACCCCTGCCAAGGTAACTCAGAATAGACTGACAGTTGTGAGAAAAGCTTTTTGGTGTTGGAGTTTACAAGAACATGCTGAAGAGTTTGCTTTACTCCAGGTACCCATGCCAGTCGGACCATACCTGTGGCAACCTGATGGCCCAAACCTCTGCTGCCACTATGGATCATGACGCAAACCTGTCCTTTGTGGTCGATGCCCATCTTCCTGGCAGCATATTCATTGTAAATGTCATCCACAACCTGGATCTCAGCATAGTGATTTCCTGCTCCCAGGGTCCCCAGCTGCCAATCACAACACAAACATCAGACAGCTCTTAGTAAGGCAGCTATGGGAATATGGGCGAAAGGGCAAATTGCTACAAAGGTTTCAGTTTCAGGAGTTTTTCCAGGAAAAACAAACAAACAAACTAAAAGGAAGCAGAACACAGTAGCATTATCATAGCCCTCTTTGTTCAGATTCATAACAACTTCTACTGTTTGAACAAGACCAGGATTAAACAAAAGGACAAGAATCTACACTCTGTGCAGCCACTCTTTTTGCAACTCAGGTCCAGTCAAAAGACAGGAAAAGTAGAGTACTGAGAATCCACCCTGTTTATAGAGACAAGCCAGACATTGCCTTACACTTGTTTCTAACCCCATGAGGAAGCTAAAACATCCTTTTAACGATGTCATTAAGCCTTTTCAGCAGATTAAAGCAAGATATTCCATTTTTAAGACCCACTTTTTTCTGACTTAGTAATAGGTGATTACTTGTTTGATAGGTAAAATGAGAAAATTGAGGACCTAACATCATTTTTAGGTTAAAATCCTGTAATGTATTGCAGCACAATTCATAAAACTCAAATCATATAAAATAAAGTTTCAGAAATTGAAGCATTATCACAGATCCCTCAAAAGCATTCCACCCAGAGCAACGACACAGTGATATACTTACTACACATAGAAACCCCTTGAACTGTAATTCAAAGTTCTGAGTTAGTCACATTTATTGTGGTATCTTTCCTTGACCTGCTATTGAGTTGCTATGCAAACAAGGAGAAAAGTTACAGAACAGCTTGCCTGTCTTTCAACAAAACTACATCTGGATGGGGAAATGCCAGCAAACATGAATCCCAGTGTTAATTGGTGAAAACCTGATGCCCCCAGGGACTTTGGGTACACCCAACATTTATCATGTTTCCCTGTGTTCAAACTCTGCCAAGAATTAATCAGAAATAGCACCACCATCTCACCTTTCCACCTGCCAAGAACCATCAGGCAAAGGTTCAAGAAAAGACAAAGTCAGAAAACCACCCGCTATCTTTCACTTTGAACCCTGGGGGCACTACAAAACCCTTTTGAAACACAGCTTTACCTGAGGCAGGCCCCTCTTCTTTGCTCTCGAAGAGACTTTGTTGGGATCAGCCTGCAGCATTCTTCCATACTCCTCACAGTGTTCCTTGTCCTCTGCCCAGGCATAGCCTTCCCGGAGAGACCAGTCTACACCCATCTCTAGAGCCTCTTCCAAATCCCTGCAATTAGCAAAGACATATGTGCATTCTATTCTTGGAAATATTCAAAACTTAACGAGGTATGGTCCTGAGAAACTTGATGGTTCTCCTCCTGGAGAAGCACATGTATAGAAAGGCTTTGATTTTTTTCTCTTTCATAAAGTCTCCCACCCTTGAATCTTTCATAAAAACAAGAGATGACCACTGCAGTGACGTGCACACAAAGTTGTTCTCTTACTTGGCGTTCATGGGGATGACACCCTTTGAACCAACACCGACAGGAATGTGGTCAAACATAGCCTGGGCGAGCTGCTCCTTCACAGGCTGCACATCACTTTCATCCAAATTTGTACGCAGTAAGCGGACACCGCAGTTGATGTCGAATCCGACACCACCTAACAGTGCAAGAAGAGCCATACAGTTAGTAGTGTGCTAATGCTGTGTGCTAAACACTGATATTGAAATATTAAAGATGAGATTCATATTAATCTTAAATCAACGTCCTTACTGACAGGGAGCACGTATCAAATGATGTGATCTTACATCTTTCTAAGACAATATTGGGAATTGTATTAAGTTACATTTTAATGGATTTACAAGAAGCCATAGATTTCAAGAGAGCCAAATAGTTTCGCAAAGACAAACCTGACCACTCTTTAGAAAACCCCACACACAGCTTCTCCATCTCAAACACATGCTCTATGCATCTGCCAGTTGCTCCAGCAAGTGTATACCGCTTTAATTAAATACATGTACAGAAATTGAAGAGGACATTCAGCTGCCTCAGGACAAAAGGAAAGTGACAGACGAAAATCTTAGCACAGTTCCCAAAAGCAAGTCCTTGGAAGCAAATCGTTTTTGAATCTTCACTGGAATAAATACTATAATAAGCAGAGAAGATTTAAAAGTAATATGAAATTTTAGTTTTGCTTAATTCTCAGCATTTAATATAAACTACCACCACAGAGAGAGGCTGAGTGTGAGAGACCAATCATGCCACCTTTACTAGTGTCCGAGTGGGGATGCTAGACAAGGAGATCTTCATTTTGAGTCCATTGGAAACACACAATTTGAAAAAAGTAAGGCCTAACACATGAATCTCAGGTACAACCACAAAAGCGCCTGTAGACCATCAGTTACTAAAGACCAAGGTATATATAAAAACGTCAGAAATATAAAAAGGTCATGTTTTTAACAAAATACAGAAATATTCTTAAAAAGGGGCTTCAAATCTTGCTCAAAGAGAAGAGTCAATTCTTTATCAACATGGTGAAACCAAGTCCAAAGTCTTGTGCTCTCTCTTCAAGACTGAGGGATACAAGCCCAAGCCAAAAACATGGTAATTTTTTCTGTACTGTTTAAATGCTTACAAAATAACCATTCACAATGTGAAGAATAAAGATTCTGAGCACAGAAATTTAAGTGTCTCTTAACTCTGTGTAATTCAGTCATTTTTTGTCTTTGTTCTGCATATAAAGTACTGTACAGATCTGCCATTTTGCCACGTATTTTTAAGCCAACGCAGACCTTCCTCAGTGCAGATTAAGTCAGTCTTGAGGTAATCTCACCTGGTGACACCACTGCTTCAGGATCATTCATATCAAAGGCTGCCATGTTGCCAATGGCAAAGCCATAGCCAGAGTGGACATCTGGGAGACCTATGGATCTCTGAAGGAAAACAAAGGAAATGTCAAAGTTCTGCAAACTTTGTACTGCACTAAGAGTCATCTTGGTTATGCTCTGACTTGTGACAGTGGTTATCACATGTACAGACCAATATACCAGACAGCGAAAGGATGTTCTGATGGGGTAGACACCTGAATTCAGGAAAGTAAACTCCTACAGTTTATAGGAGAAACCATCAAAGAAAGCAGAGAGCAGTTCATCTCATCCTGAAGCAAGCTGTAGAGGCTAGTCAGCTGAGCAGCCCCCCTGAGATTGACCCGGTCCCAAGAAAACTTACAGAAAAAACAAAACATCCAAGTGTAAGAACTGTAATCTCAAACTGAAATCTAGTTTATCCCTGGACTCAAGAGCCTCTACACTGGCATCTTTGTAGGCAATAACTTATGAATGGCACAGAGCAGAGACAGAAGACTGAAGACGAGTTTGTCGCTGTCAGGTGCCATCTACAGCAATACTTAAATGCAGTAAATTTAACAAAGAAGGAAGTCAGTGCAATGGAATAAGATCACACAACAGTCAGCACTTTCCTTTCTTAGCTACGTCACTGAACATTGACTTAAAACTGCATGCTATGGGTGGAAAAAGACATTCTTTTGACATGACAAGTTAAGTTGGGAGCTGAGTCAATTCATAAAAGAATTACTTTTAATTGAACCTTTCACGTTACTGCCAATTAAAGAGTGTGCATCTACACAACTCTACAAGTTTGAGGCATGGCAAATTTAGATTATGACACGCTGCAAATAGGACTCAAAACATTCTGTCTGTTTTCTGAAACCCATTGAATGTATTAAACTGTTGCTATACGTGAAAGGGAGAACTGTTTTGCAGAGGCTTATATGCTTCTGCTCCCTCCCCTTACCATCAACAAGAAATCTTATTAAAAAGAGTGAAGATGTGAATAGAAAGATAATAATAACATCTCTCCTACAAACTATCAGCCATAATTCCCATTTTAACAGGTTGCTTCAATTTTCTCTCACCTTCTTCTTAGTTGGTCACTAAGGCATTTTAGCAAATTGATGGTTAGCCTTTCACCGTAGCCAGAAACTGAAAACTTTTGCTGAGTCACCATGAGAAACAATTGGAAAAAAAAAAAAAAAAAGAAAAAAAAAAAGACAGTTCTGGTACTTATTAATGTAAGCAACACTGATCATAAAAAGATCATTTCCACATTGTACTTCATGTTTCTTGAAAAGTGATGTTCTTCCTGCATCGCTGCATTCGATGCTTCATTTCCAGAATGCATGGGGCCAGGGAAAACAGTGCATGGCTCTGTTGAGTGCATGGCTCAGTGGAAGGCTCACTACCAACACTAGGGCAGCAACAGTAACACAAATAACGTCACCGCTTGCTCTCTCTTCTCCATGCACTGCAGGTCAGCAGAGAGGATTCAAAAACAAAGAACAACAGACAGTGGAAAAATAGTGGCTAAAGCAACTGGAATAGCATAAAGCAAAGCCAGCAAGGCTTCATGTCAAAAGACAGTCAATGAAATAAGTAGATACTCCCCTTTCTGACACTCCCCTTTCTGACAACTTCACAGCCTGTCCTTGCAAACACACAGAGCCAGTTTCCCAACACACCAACTGTCCTACACAGATCTCTGATCCAAACACCTCGCACCAGTATTCCCTTGATCAGTGACAAGCAGGAACCAAAAGCAACTTTTCAGAACAATGACTCACATGAACGATACCAGGCAATGCAGCCACATTCCCAATCTGTTTCATAGCAGGCAAAAAGCCACCCGCACCTTAAAACCAAAAGAAGAAAAACCAAATACATCAGTAATCAGATAGCTTACCATGGCAACCGCAATTTCTGAAGGGTCTGCTCAAAATACCAGCTCACCAGAAATCACAAGCAAGTGCTCAAATCTGGTGAGCTCCAAGCAAGATCTGACATATCGTTATGCTGATATGACAGAAGGAAGGGAAGCCATCCAGAGGGACTGCACAGGCTTGAAGATTGGTCCCATGTGAACCTAATGAGGTTCAATACGGCCAAGTGCACAGTGTTGCACTTGGATCAAAGCAATCCCAGATACATGTACAGACTGGGAGAAGGACTCACTGATAGCAGCCTTGCCAAGGTCTTTGGGGACCTGATAGGTGAAAAGTTTAATAAAAACACCAGTGTGTGATGCAGGCCAGAAAGCCAATTGTACCCTGGGCTTCATCAGAAGAGTAGTGGCAGCAGGGAGCGGGAGGGAACTGATCTCCACTCTGCAGCACTACATGCAGGCCTGAGGCTCCCAGCACAAGAAGGATGCAGAGCTGTTGGAGCAGGTCCAGAGGAGGGCAAAGAAGATGCTCAGAGGGCTGGAGCACCTCTCCCGTGAAGACAGGCTGAGGGAGCTGGGCTTGATCGGCCTGGATAAAAGAAAGCTGTGGGCAAACCGGCGCGCTGCCAGCCCAGCCCAGCCCTCAGTGTGAAGGCCCCGCAGACGCACCTCCGCCGCGGCAGGCATTGCGCAGCTCCTCGAACATCAGCTTCTCCAGCGGGTCGTTCACGTAGAAAACTCCCTCCACCTGCGGGGAGAGCGGTCTGAGCGGCCGGGCTTCCTGCTTCCCCCTTCTCCCCTCCCCAACCCTTTCCCCCCCTCCCCACGCACATGCATGTTGGGCACGAAGCCCTTCTTGATCCGCCAGCAGTTCTTGTCGATCTTGTCCAAGTACTGCAACTCATCGTTGTAGCTGCGGCTCATGGTGGCTCCGCTCGTGTCGAACCCCTCCGACAGCGCCCGGCCAACAGCGACACACGACGGCGGCCGCCGAGGGCCACGACACCTCAGCGGTGGCAGAAGGCGGACGGGAGCCTCCGAGGGACAAATATCCTCCGCCCGCGCGCGCCCCCTGGCGAAGCGGCCGGGCCTTCCCTCAGCTGGTTGGGACCGAGAGCCGCGCTAAGAGGCGCTGGGCAGGGCTGTGTGCAGCGGGCCAGGTCGCTGGGGGTGCAGAGAACCGCATGCCGTGCTGCGCCATTTTCCCTCCGAGCGCCTCAGCCTGCTCAATGCATGGATCTGTACTCACAGAACTGACAGTGCACTTCTTGTGAGAGGCGGCGGCACCTTTCAGGAAGACAGACACAAGAAGTGTGTAGACAAGGCTTTATTTCAACAGTCCCGTTATTAATTTCAGGTTCATGCCTAACAGGCGGTGATTCTTGTCCTTCAGTGCTTGTAGTGAGCATCGGTAGAAATCAACACATATCCCTGTGGGGAGAAGAACGGTCACAGAAATGCTATGAAGTACAAAATTAAAAAAAAAAAAAAAAACAAAAAAACACAAAAAAAAAAAAAAAAAAAGCTTTTTTTTCAAATTCAGCTCCTGCTGTTGAAAGTCAGAAAAGTCTACTGAAGACAGCTGGAACTTGGGAGTAATGAGCTCTATTAAACTCTTGTCTTTCAAACTGCAAGAGAGCCCCATCTTTGCCCACTGTTATCCCTTTGCAATGTGCTGGCAATGGAATCGTTAAGGTTACAAAGGACCACTAAGATCACCTGGTCCAACTACCAGCCTAGTTCACCCATGTCCTCTCATTCCTAGCTAATGATGAGAAAACTGACTAGAGAAAGTGAGGTGGGAAATGGGTCCCACAGAACCATTAATATCCTTTGTACATAATTAGCTTGTAAGGTGATTGGCAGCTAGAGTCACTGAAAGCAACTTCCAAGCAATTATTTTTTTGTAGGGATTGTGTACCTGGATGCTTCAAGGTATGTGGGATGCAAAAAAAGATTTTAAAACACCCTTTGCATTGCCTTTCCTGAGTTGCGCATTGTGCCTGGCCCCAAAGAAGGATTTGGGGCTGACTGTGCAAAGCAGAAAATATCTGAGAAGCTGGTAAGCAAATGGAGAAATGCACCACGCTTACCCATCTTCTGGAAATTCATCTGTCAGCAATAGCATTGTACTGACTGACTGTCTAGCAACAATCTGTATGTTCAAACTGAGATCTAGAGAGTATTTCAGGAGATAGACTCAAGGGATAGATTTGTATCTAATAGGATTCTACCATTATTGCAGATCTCAGTTTAGATCCAGTTTTTTTTATTGCTTAACTAGTTCAAAATCCAAAAAATTCCCTGTATTAGTGGAAGGTAAGTAAAGAAAAAAATCTTTTTCATAAGAATGTTAAAATCTCACCTGTGCGATTGTAATACGAGGTCTTATGAAGGTAACATTGGCCAAATTGGGAAGAGGGAATCCTTTGGATAGTTTAGCTTAGGAAAAGACAAACACAGTGATTTAGGGATGCATGAGAAAGATAATAAATATCTGCCCTTCAACAACCTCCTGTTTATTCAGAAATTAGAACCTTACAAATCTGGCTTCCTGTTCTGCTGCTTACTAGCCGATGGTCACGTTCCACCTGAGTTAATAGGAACCAGTAACGTCAGCAGAATGTCAAAAGTTCCTAGAATCACCCACTCAGCTGAAAGCTTTTAGCTGATTCTTAGAAGAACAGAATCATAGAATCAAATGAATTGTTTGAAGAGACCTTTAGGCCATCTAGTCCAACTTCTCTGCGATGAACAGGAACATCTACAGCTTGAGCAGGGTGCTGAGAGCCCTACCAGCCCGACCTTGGTTGTCTCCAAGGATCTGCTTCACTACCCTGCTTCATTTCACTGCTATAACTTACTTTATTTTTCTCAGTTTAAATCTCCTCTTTTAGCTTGAAACCATTTCCCCTTGTCTGAAAGGACAACAGACTCTGCTAAAGAGTCTGTCCCATTCCTTCTTACAGCTCCCCTTTAGATACTGGAAGGCCACTTTCAATGTCTCCCTGGACCCTTCTCTTCTCCAGCTGAACAGCCCCAGCTCTCTCAGCTTATCCTCATAGGAGAGGTGTTCCATCCTTTGGACCATTTTTGTGGATGTGCTCCACGTCTTTCCTGTACAGAGGACTCCACATCTGGACACAGTACTCCAGGTGAGGTCTCACCAGTACAGAGCAGAGAGGCAGGATCACCTCCCTTGCCCTGCTGGCCATGCTGCTTTGGATGCAGGCCTGGATACAGTTGGCTTTCTGGGCTGTGAGGGCACACTGCTGGCTCATGTCCAGCTGTTACGCACCAGTCTTTTTCAGCAAGGCTGTGCTCCATCCTTTCATTTCCCAGCTTATACTGATAGTAGGGGATGCCACGACCCAGGTGAAAGACCCCACACTTGGATTTGCTGAACCTCATGAGGTTCTCCTGCGCCCACTGTTTGAGCCTGTCTGGACCTCTCTGAATGGCATCCCATCCCTCAGGTGTTTCAACCACATGATACAGGTTGGTGTTACAGCCTTACCATTGGCTGATGGAATTACTTCAGTTTGTAAAATATAAGACAGGATGTTCTCCAGAAATGAGATCTGTCACAAACAAAAAAAAACTGAGTTACACATCACTTTCTGATAGTGGCAGAATCATCATTCCCACATTCTGGGTGAGGTCTGTAGGCTTTCATTCAACTTTTGGCTCTCATTTAGCTCCAGAGAGCCATTAGCTAAAGTAACCTTTGGATCTTAAGTCTTTGAAATGATGCAGAAAGTGAGATGCAAAATGCAAATGGCTCACAGTTCTACATGTGATTGCCCAGACTGCAGCACACTTGCTCCACCTACTGCCAGAGTTCAGATTGCTGCTGTGCGCAGATTCCACGGCTGTGATTTGAGACATCTCTCTAGTTACTGATAAAATATGATACATTAGTCAGGAAAACTTTAGAATATTTAATTTTCAGAACACTGAATTGCCTCAAAGAATAAACTTATTATTATTTTTTTTATTATTTTTTAATCAACAGCAGTGAGGTGGCTGCCAGAAGACAGGAAAAGAGACATCCAGGAATGAAGCCAAATGATTTAGGAAAACAGATAAAATTTAGCTGCTTAGCCTTGATATCTTTACTCTTTACTACTTTAGCCTTGATATCATTAATAGTCCTGATTTGTATTTCCTATGTGTTTAAACTATCTGCTTACCTCAAAAGAGCCAACATTGGAATGGGCGAGGGAGAACTGGAGCCTGAGGGAAAGAAGTGAAATGAGATGAGTCACTAGAAAGGACAAACAGGTATTATTCTAGATGTACAGTCACTGCTTCAGAGCTCTAGGCCTTACAAGACATCTGTAAGGAGACTCTTGAAGCAATATCTTTTACTTGAGAAAGGTGTGATCTCTTAGGGCACAGCTAAACATGCATGCAGAAAAATCCTAGAAGGGCTGTAGCCAGGGATGTGAGTGCACTTCTTCTGTGCTGTCTTGAAAATCCAATCAGTATTTGATGTTAGTAGGGCCAGCATTATGGATGCGCATGCTCTCAGAACACTTGCAAGGATTTGGTATGTAAACACAATACTTTGATGTGAGCCTTTCTAGGGGTGGGATGAATAACTGTTCCCAGTATGGTACTGCCACTGATGGCTGTGCTGCTCATGTCAATCTTTCCAACTTCAAATACTTATACTTTTCCATACATATTCAAGTATCCAATTACCTGCATGCTTCCGATTTTTTTCTCTTAATTTTGCTGGAAAAAAAAAAAAAAAAATCCCCAATACTATTGACACTATCCTCTTTACATTCCTAACATTGCTGTGTCCTGAAAGAATCTGCATATTCTTTTTGTTCCCAAGGAGTCTTTTGTGACGTAAGTGTCCCAATTCCCAGCTATAAGGCTGTGGTTTACAGAGCCTCTCTCTATAGAATGTAATACTGTAGAATTTTAAATGTCCAAGTCTCTCTGCTTTGGCTTTCTGAAGTCTAGACATTGCGGTGCTTCTCTTGGGGCATCTCCCCCTAACTCTACATAGAGAAAACTGCAGGTGTCCATGTTCTTTTCTGTGTCCTGGACCCCTGCACAGGACAGACTAGAGAGCAGATGTATCTTAACTACTTGGAAAGGATTGAGGGAAGCTCTCAAATTATCCATCATCATGAATACCCTGCATACCTATCTCAGAGGAGAGAGTAAATTATGGTTAGCTGATCACATGTAAAAACTGCAATGCTGAGATTGCTAGTGTTGTTTTCCAGACAGGCACAGGCCAACCTTGTTGAATTACCTGTTCAGACATAATGAGCCTGTGAGTTTCTGGTCAAAGACATTCAGAGCAATGCTGGTGTTGGCTGCCTGCAGAAGAAAGAAACCATGGGTTTACAGACACAGAAAACAGAACCCTTGCTCAGAATTAGTCACAAATGCAGAAGCACCATCTTCCTGGCTGTGTATAGGAGCTGTTTTGTGTATGTGGGGTTCTTCCATGGCCAGGTGAAATGTGGATAATGAGATTTCACTAATCAAGACCATTTTCAGTTAGAAGAACAAGATGTCATGGGACATGACCCACGCTTACAAAAATCATTCCAGAGAACAAATCTTTGGTTAATCAGTGTCAATTTATTCGGATTCTCATTTATCTACAAGAAAAACTTCTTCCCCATAGAAAAATTTCTTCCCCTTCCAGTAGGTTAAGTGGGGCCACACAGCGTCACCAGTGACTAAAGGGATCTTGCATGTTTAAATACTAAAAATATGGTACTTTGTTGTAGAGAATTCTAACAGCAGGAAAGAACAAGTATATTTAGCCCTGAGTTAAATGTTACCTTGTTTATTGTACTTACTATATTCACTGTGAACAGTGACTGAGTGGTTGAGTCTGGCAGAACAGCAAACACCTCCATGGATTCCTGAATCTCTAGAGTAAAAGAATCCTGCTGCAAGCTGATGAGAGGTATTTCAGTGGCCATTAGCTTCATCATAACTGGATACGGTATAGTTGAGTATTTGGCTATCTGCATGATTGCAAGGCAAAATCAAAAAAGTCAGAGAAATGCTCTTCTTGTTGAACAGGTCGGAATATACATTTTCTCTTTCTCAGAGCTATTGGTTGTTTTAGATGAGGTTAAGAACAGCTGCTAACATAAAATTCTTTAATATAAGCTGGAAATAGAAATTTTCAGTGGTGATAAATCACCAATCTTGGCTGAATCAGGAATGCAATGGTAAGTTCTTTCCACTCTAGAAATATTATTTCCTCTGTATCACTTTTAGAGAAATTAAATTAAATATTATTCTGTGAACACAGGAAAGGAATGGAACAAAATATGACATTTAAGTAATAATAAAGGAGCTCAAAGGTCATTCACTTTGAGATTAATCCATCTCATAAGACAGATATCTGCTGTGGACTGTCCTGTGAGGAGCCTCAGACTCTCCATTGCCTAAAGAGCGCATAGGTTCACAAGCTCATTCCTTAGAGAGGTGGAATATTAGTGTAAATGCTCATGGCATTTTATTAAGAAGACCACATGATAATTGCTCTTGAAGCAATCTTAGATTTCTAAGGAGGGAACCTAGTATCATACAGGAAGCAGACAAATATACAAAGTTCTTACAGTTGCCTGTTAAGAAAAAATTATTCTCAGAAAGAGTGGTGCTGCAGTGGCACAGGCTGCCCATGGAGGTGGTGCAGTCACCGTCCCTGGAGGTGTTCCAGAGCCATGTGGATGTGGCACTGAGGGACGTGGTCAGTGGGTATCATGGGGTGGTTGGACCAGGTAATCTTAGTAGTCTTTTCCAATCTTAATGATTCTATGATTCTGTGATTCTTAGAAGCACAAATCCAGAATTATCCATCCTAGGCATTCAAGGGCTGGGGTCTCTTGTGCTCATTTTGATTTCTTATTCTGTTTGAGAATGCTGGTAGAAGCCATGCTTGCTTGTATCTCTTATATCTCTTCTGTTATATCTCTTCTCCTCTTCCTAAAGTAAATGGAAATCCTGTACATTTGCCTTCTTTTTTCAGTGGATGTAATGTTTCCTGCCCATCTGTTAGCTCACTTTACTGCATGTGAGCACTACAGTCCCTTCCCAGGTCTTTACTGTATTGCTTTCTGCTAGTCAGTCACAGGCTAGCAGTGAAACAAAGGCAATTATGCACATATGGGCAGGAGAAATAAGTTATTTCTGACTGGAAGCTCTGGCAGAGTTCTCCCAGATCAGGATTTAGACTGGGAGCTTTTCCCTGTCTAGGACTAGTTTGATGTGGGAACTGCTGTATGTATTGAAACAGTGACTGGAGTAAAGATTGATGTACAAGATTACGGCCAAGTTTGATAATAGTCATTCAGTTGTGGGGATGGGAAGTGACAAGGTCCATCTCCTCTGCTGCTACCATGCATGCATATGCCCATTTTTCCAGAGCAAGAGCCCCACTGCACCTACAAGGCCTTTGGGACACGCCAGTATTGAGGTGTCTAACACTCACACTGGGCAGTTTTCTAACAGTTTGTGAAAGTAATGACACTCACCTTGGGGATGATATTACCAAACATCTCAGTGCTTATATTTAAATATCTGCAAGCCTGGGGGGAAAAATAAAGATAAAAGAAATCAATTCACCAGGTTTGACCACCATTCTCAGCTTTTCTTTAATGCATTATTACTGTCATTTCAATGGATCTTTGGTTTTATACCTTTTGTTCTCGGAAATATTCTTAAGAGACTCAGTATACTTAAAGCTTATTCCCAATAACTCAGGTCAAGGTACTTCCTGGGAAAGCAAATGCTTCATACTATCTTAGTTTGCGTTGCAGTCTTTAGGTCTGGGGATGTAGTGAACCTCCTGTAGACTGTATATCCAAGTTTGCCTAGCTCCAAATCATAGTTGTTTTGTCTTATGCTTTGCTTCCATGGTCTCTGTAGCATTTTTACTCTGTAAAGACCCGTCAGGAAAAAGCCACTAAGGCAGCTAAATTGCCCAGAGTAATTTATGTGACCATCTCTTGACTATTCCACAGGTCTATACAAATTTCTTTTATGTGGCTAAGTACTTTACTCAGTGGAACCAGGCATCTCTGCTTGTGGACTGAGGAATCTGTACAGAACATAAAATGAGCATTGCAATACCTTAGCGTTTGTGCTCTACTGTCTCAGGACTTCACAGCCCAATTAGCAGTGAATCTATTGCATTCTGACAATTGGCAGGTCAAAGCTCCACATTGAATGACTGAGCCACTCTGACCCCATTCCCGTGTCCTACTTACTTCCTTTGCAATGGTGATGTTGAAGGCCCCTGCTGTGTAGTAAGAAAATAAGGATGTCTGAAAGAAATACTTGGAGAAGGCAAGGTAGAGCATGGAGTCACTTTGGTCCGGGATAGCAATGGGAGTTGCCACATAAGGAGGGCCAGTATAATTTCCAGCTGGGTAGACCATCCCCTGAAATGTATATTCAGAGATTCAATACAAAAAGTCAGAATCAAAACATGACTTTGAAATGACCGCAGACTTTTTTTCCCTTTGCTTAAGTTATGCATTTGTTGTATAAGTAACTACATAGGATTTGTATTACACCCTGGAGCTCTGGTGCTTTCAAGCAGGCGGTGAAGACAAATTCCAGAGACTGGACACCTTCACAGATTTGTGAGACTTCTCTTTTCAGACGCTGATCACCTACTGAAGACAGTCTACCACCTCAGAAAACCAAATGAAGGACTTATGTATTGAATGACCTCCTTATTGAAAAGCTTTACTGTCTCCTTTCCCCATTTCCAAAAATTTAGATTCGAAAACTGTTGCCCAGAGCCAGCCAATGGTCTCAGTTACAAGATGGATCTTTAAAATGACAAAGGTCAAAATCAGCAAGTAATGTGTGCAGATGAAAGAATGCACAAAAGTTAGCTCAGACAATCCTAAAATCACTCACATTATCTTTTGCAGTATCAGTGACATTACCCCAGACTTGCATATCAAATACTCTGTTGTCTCTTGCAATCCTGGCAAATAACACTACAGCAGTTACCTTTAAGTCCATGTCAATGTATGGTCGGAATACTTCCAAGCTGTTTAAGGAGTAGTCAATTTCAGCCAAATCATCAATTCGCACTGGGACTGTGTATGTGGCAAACAAAGCAAAATACCCAATATTATACAACCACAGAATGAATTTTACGTGCATTAAAACTAAGTCAGCACCTGAAGGAAAATGACACGTGTTCCAAAGGGTAGGAAAAAAAACCCTGTGATATCCAAACATAATTTCTGACCTAAGGCTTGACATTTTACTGGTATGTTCTTCAAAGCATCTTTTTTTAGTTTGTCTAATGTTTTCTCAGAGTGGAAAAGTACATTTTGTTTAACCAAATGAAAAAGGAAATGCCCATGGCTGTAGTGGGTTTTCTTGTTAAGCAGCACAAGAGTATTTGAAGTACCTCTGATTTGCAAATATTTCCCCAGAAAAGGGTGGTTGCCTGGTCTATTTAGGCATTTGTGTTTTGCAGATTGTGTCTGCTCAACAATTTGGCTGCTTCCTGCAAATCTAAAATGGTTAACATAAGAAAATATTTTTTCTTTCTTTTCTTTTAAGCATAAGAGCATAAGAGTCCTCAGAGGCCACATAGCACTGATAATAAATGCTGTGTGATCTCTAAGTTGCATTCCTAACATCAGAAGTACAACTTAAGAATAGTTCCCAAGTCCTTGGCTTCTCAGAAATGTCCTTTTCTTGTCCAAGTATCATTTCTTTTATTTACCTGTGGTCTTCTAAGTAAAGGAGCAGACAGAATGTGGGTTCTGATACAGCTCTTGGAGGCTTTGCTATCCAGCTGCTGTTAAGGAAACTAGAGAATTTCACTGGACAATAGATGAGAGGCAGAAAGAAAAGATATCACAGGTGACTCACCATTCAGTGATTGGAGGTCCTTAGCTATCAGCTGGATCCCAGATCTGATGTTGGGACAAGACTGCATAAAAGCATACTCAAGTTACAGCATGATTATCACGGATCTGTATACACCCCTTACCTGTGTGCTAGCTAATCTGTCTCCTTATGTTACAATTTCAGCAATTGTCAAAATACCTAAGGTTGTTTTTCTTCAGCTATCAGGTTCAGGAGGTGATTCAGTGCACTAAAAATCTGTTTCTAAAGGAACATGTCTTTCTTCAGTCACTTTAAAGAGAACTCCAATAATAAATCTCCTTGCTGCATCTTATCTGGTTGGACTAGATGATCCTAGTGGTCTTTTCCAATCTAAAGGATTCTATGACTCTATGGTTATCTATTCTGTGCAATGCAAGCATGGCCTGTGTCAGAGCTGCCTTTAGGCAAGGAAGTGGGAAGTTGCTAAAGGCAGCCTGATGGGGGTGACAAATCCACAGTTTAAGAAGTGTGAGAAGGAGATCTCATATTGGTCTCAGAGCAGATCCCTGTCTTGGAGCAGAATCACACCCATCTCAAGCTCTACCTTCTTAGAGGCGATAGGCAGGATGTTGTCACAACTGCTCATCTCTTTGAAACCATGAGGTTTAAGTAAGTCGTGCTATCCAATGGTGTATCATGAGATCTGTGTGTCACACAGTATGTGTTTTACCTGCTGAGAATGAACATTACCCGACAACCAGGATGTCTGTACACAGGCACGCAGTCCTGTTCTGCACTGGAATGGGAAAAATAACTGCACATTCTGGCTCTGGTTGAAACTCACCTATCTCTGGATCAGTTAATATCTCAGCCACAAACTCAGCATTTTATTTGGAAGTTTCTCTGTCTGGCAAAGCAATAAGTGTGCCGATCAGGCCAGAACCAAACTATAATTTTTCTAGTTCATCCTTTGCCAAGTTCCCAGTGCTGACATCTGAAAGTGATATTCCTTAAACTCTCCCGTACACAATCTAAAAGGCTTACATTAGTGGCCAAGTTCCTGTGAATGGGTTTCTTCAGATATTTGATAAAGAAATCGTGCAGGAAGCTACAGGAAAAGAAAAAAACAATTCATGGGTCAAGTACTACAGTCATTAATAGGAAATCAGATATCTCTGTGGAACATGACTTCAGTGATCTCTAAGTGTGATATACCAGTACACGTGGGAGCTTTCTGAAATTCAAGAGCTATCAGGGAGCTACCACTGAAAAGGAGGTAATTTTACTCAGTAATTAGACTGGGATCATCTTTATGAATAATAATTTGTTTATATTAGCACTATTGTGTAAACACAAAATAAATAGTCTGTGCAGTAGGAATTCTCAAAGCATATAAAAAAAACCCCAACCAAATAGAAAACCAAAGCCAGGTGACAAGAGCTATATTCAGACAGTGAGAGAAATATAAGAAATACAAGAAATCACATTGCACAGGTTTATATCAAGAGGAACGATAGACAGCAGTCTGGTTCTTTTTTTTTATAGCTTTCTGATCTAAAGTACATAAAGCATAGTATAAGCATATGGCTTCTGCCTAGAGTTGAAGATTAGAGCTGTACTTGGAAAGAATTCTGTGTTGAAGAAGCACAAGGGAATATTTGATTTGACAGAAGTTGCTGTATTTATTCTCTACTCAAATGACGGTGCACAAAGACGAGAACAGAGGTTAAACTTGGCCACTTGAGCACTAGATTAGGGCCCTGATTCTCATCTGTGTTCTTTATAGACACCTAAAAGCAATTCTAGTTCTCCTATTTTGTGAAGTTGTCTTTGTGCCATTCATTGACATTTATTTTCTCCCAGCATGTACACAGATCTCTTGCACTTACCCACTTTTTCCATTCAACTTGATGTCTGTATCACCAGAAGTCGTATGACAGCTGTTAAGTGACACTGAAGTACGACCCATACTATCCAGGGGTGTTGAAAAGACTGCAGTAACAAACACCTTGGAAATGTGCACTGTGCTTCTTCCACCGTCTTTGCTGCATAAAGTAAAAGTATATAAACAACTGAAAAACCTATTTTAGTGAACATTAAAGGCTCTCTAAGGCTTAAACAGATTCTTGCTGTTCACTGAAGATCACTGAAGATTCACTGAATACTTTTCATTGTATTGCTCATAGAGAAAACAATCGTGTATTCTACACAAATTTCCATGCTAGGAGTTTTGAAACGTGCTGAATTAGGAAAAACAGGTAACTCACTGTTCTAAAGTAGTTTGTGTATAGTTACGAGACATGCCCACAGCAAAGGCAACTGGATTATGTCTGTTAAAGGGCAAACCTGTTTCAGGGCCTGGAGTGCCCTCCTCCCCACCACCATCCCAGGGGTTTGGCAGCCCGTGCTCAAGACCAGCTCCAATGTGGTGAAGCTGTGGTATTTTTGATCAAACTGTTCATAGCCTGGTTGTGAGAAAGAGCTGTGCAAAGCCTCAGTGAAGGCCTCTACCCTTTGTTTGTGAGCCGCACTGAAGCTCATGCCATGTTGTAGGTAGACCTACTACCCCTCCTGTCAACGAGAACCAGACTGTTACTGGATTTTTTCTCTGAGCTGTTAAAGACCGCTTCTGCCATGATGAGCTCACAGGACAAACTAATATTTGTTTTTTTATATTTTTCATCAAGAAAAATCCCAAAACACGAGGCTACACGTACAACATCCAGGTCCTTATATTCCAGTTCATATCGATGGTGAGAGAAGCGTTTCTAATCACCAGTTTTATCCCACTCCTGGGTATGAGGGAGATGGAAACGTTGGGGAATTCAACAGCAGTGACTCTTATTCTACAACATGAGAAAGATAAGGAAAAAAAATAAAAATAAAAATGAGTATTTTGGGCAACCTCAAATTTTACTTGATTTCTCCTGCTCACACTTTTTCAGGCGAGCAGGACTCATAACTGCTATTCCATTCTTATGGTATCATATGATTTTACACTTTTTTTTTTTTTTTGCACAAATAAGTCATTAAAGCATATTTGTCAAGTGCTGAGCAACCAACAGGGCACCTAATGAACTTAATAGCACTGCAAACGAAACACCTAAAAGTGTTATATCTAAACACTGACCTGTGTATTTATACATGGAGACCCCACATATTTTGCAGTTTTGCCCTTTTCAGTATTTCAAAACATGTAATATTTCTGCGTGATTTGTGCATCAAAAGGCTGGCTGCCTTAGAAGGACTTAATATCTGTTTGCTACATAGTATGTGTGCTTGCATTCAGAATCACACTATGCAGTGGGATAACTTATTCAGGTGGAAGTCCTGATGGTTTTAGCAAGGCAACTGCAACAAGCAGAATAAAGTGAAAATGTCCTTTCATTCAGCAGCTGTTCCTGGGAGTCTCTAACTCCAGTGATCAAATTGGTGGGGATAGTAACCAGGGCCAGGAGCTATGTTACATAGGGCAGCATTTCAAAATCCATTCTCACAGCTGTACTCATGGTCTGCAGCTAATTCTGATCTAGCTTCCACTTTGGTCTGCTCCAGCCACCTGGAAGCTGGAAAGCTGTTCCTCTGGGCTCCCCATGTGGTCAATGGAGAAACACTGACAGCTGAAGAGGATGTTTAAACTCGTTCTAGAATAGGTGTCTAAGTCAGAGGTGTAACTGCCTTCTGGGTATGTAAATCTTTCTCCACTGATCATAGCAAGGGCTTAGCTGACTAAATTAGACCAGATAACTTTATTCAAACAGAGGTTAATCAAGAGAATTTTTGCTTTGACTTCATCAGGCTTCGGATGTAAGCCACACGTGCCCTCCTTTAAGCAACAATTACTGTAAAACACATCAACATTCCCATTATAATCCATGCACAGAGCTAAATATTACAGTAGCATATTGCCAGAACTATTTTTCTAGGATTGTTACTTACCTTGAGATGTTGTAGTTGACATTACCAAGCCCAAATCTCTCATAGCCTGTCAAATCAGGGAATTGTTCCTTCTCCATATTCTTCTTCAGGATCTCTAGCCCAACCTTCTTGGCTGAAAGAAAAGAAAGACTGGTTCAGTTACCTTTGATACTGACAGTAGGTTTATATTTATGTGCTACCACGTTAGCAGATTTTAAAACACTGCTTGCTGACGGGATGGATGTGAATAAACTATTGTGCTCTTAACCATTCCTTTTCTCTATAGCCTTTGACTAGCTCACTTCCTCCCACTGACCTCACTACTGAAGATGTCTGTCATATCAGGATTCAGTGCAGTATCACCACAAGCTTCAGCACACCTACCATACTCCAAGGCATTCTGAGTGATTCTCACTTTGAGTCCAGGGTTGGCTTTTAGCTGCACACTCAGCAAACTTAACAGGAGGAGAGAACAGCAAATCTTCACCATCGTCTTTGTTTTTTGAAGGACCTGTTAAGAAATATTTGAAACGGTAGTAGAATTGTGCTTTTCATTCCTGTTAAACAAATCTTTTGCCTGAAATAGAGTTGTATTTCTTATCTTCCACAGGACTCTTTTAGTGCCTTGTGGGAAACAAGTAAAGTGTTGGAACAAATGGACCATTTCTACTTTTTCTATTATTTTAGTTACTTCACCATTTCTTTTTTAGTAAGGTTGAGCATCGTGACCAAGCTTCTCAAACTGGCTATTTTGACATCCCTAAAGGTGGATATTTTATCATGTTTTATCATGTATTTTATCACGTATTCCCCTTTTTGCTTCTTGTTGTGCCTATGTATGTCATCACTTAGGTGCACCTGAGGTTTCCAGCCTTTTGTCCAAAGCACACTCTAGCTAGTTTCTCCATTCACAGAGAGGGACATCAGTGTTGAAAGTCCTATATAACCAAATTAATAATGGCAAAATAAATGCTTTTAATAATGATTTACGTATTAGTGGCTGCCACTTGTTTCCCTTGGTTGGGGTAATCAGCAATAGAGTCTATCTACTCTTCCATCATCTCCTCTCAGAAAATGTTAAGGAGATACTTAGAGCTGGGGCCAGTGACTTACAGCCCAGGACAAAAAATCATTTACTATTCACTTGTTGCCTTTCCCAGTACACTTGGGAGGGATTGGTCTTATTTAATTACAACCATTCAAAAGTTAGGTCTCTCGTTTGCAACAGCCATATTTACAGTGAAGAGGGACATAGCCCACCTATCTTAAAACAAATTGCTCTGTGGGGAGTGCTTATAATCCTCCTGTGACTACAGGATTCAAAGTCTACCTCTGAGGAAGTTAAGGTAGGTAACCCGAACTTGTACTAGTTATGTACTTAACCCCTGGTTAAGTGAATTACGGCAGGGCAGTGAACAAGTAAAACAAACTCCCATTCCTGGGGCTTCTGTGGGGGTTGAAATTCAGATGGAACTATGCTGCATGAACCCCAAGCTGCATGTTGTGTGATAGCCAGAATCTATTGCTGCCAGCAAAGTCTCCAGGGAGAGTGGGAGAAGCCACCTTGATGGAAGATTAATAGGCAAAACCAGGAAATATTCTTTTTTCCCCTAGATCTAGGAAGAGTTCTCTGTGGAGTCATTTGTTATCTGAAGTACAAAACATGAGTGAAACATGGGTCATATTGTGATGATTTTCCTTATTCCCTGCTACTATGCCACATTATGGACAGCTCAAAATATTAGCATGTCTTTCCTAGCATTACTTCTATGTAAAAAATGCCTTTGGTTACCACAGGGCAGAGCTGGGATGAAACCATCTGTTAGAAGAAGGCTGCACTCTCTTCTAAAACATGAAAAATTGTTAGACGTTGCTCTATCTTTCACCACCTATTTCATCACCCATTAGAGATAATATTATATCTCAAAACTGAAGAATTTCAGTCACAATCACAATTTAAGTAAGCTGCAAAATTATGATATTTCACTGACTTAATTTTGCTGTAAAGTTTTAAATAATCCCACAGAACACCTTTGCCTTTTGGTAAGGCCAGTATTTTCTTTTTAATTTTCGCTGTCAGAAACTGAGAGGCAAATGAAACATATCTTTCTTGTGCACAACTAAAACAAAATGCTGGAGGGAAATGTGTTTTCTATGCGGGCACAGTTCTCATAATTTAAAATCCCCAAATCTTGCCAGACTTATCTACATCTATCCCTTCCCAACAAAAGCACTCCACAGCAAAGAATAGTCACAAATTATTTGTTACCATACCTCTTCTCTGAAGGCTGAAAAGAGGAATCTTGCTGTATCAGACCACAGGGTTGAGGACGCTGCAAGAAAACCCTCTGCAGCCACAGTGCTGTCTTTTAAAAGAAGGAGCTGAGAGCTTAAGTACAGCCAATTGCTGCCACCTTCAGCAATATCACACAGGGAGTGGCCTCTCAGATAACCATGTCTTGAGCTATTTTGAGTGTCACAGAGTTAGAAGTATCACTCTAATTTAATTTAGGGACAAAGCAGAGGGCAGCGTAAACCGTAGGTGGAGAACCTCAGGCACTGGGATGCTGAGCTCACAGTGGTTGCTGCATTTGTGGCATGCTGTTTCTGCACTGGCTTTTCAGATGGACCTGACAAGATACCCCAGTGGAGAATATATTCCAGTAGTTCCACGGGACTAACATTCATAACCAAATGTGTACTGTGAAAGAAAGAAAGAAATGTGTAGCTGCTAGGAAGAACAGATGGAAAACAACTGTCTAGGCCCATCTGTTCTGAAATTGGTCAAAGTACAGAAAATAATAAATTATGTAGTATTTAATCTATTGTGTATATATACTAATGTGGTGTCAATATATAGTGTCAAGTACTTTCAGTCAGTATTTTCCCTTTCTTCTGCTTGCCCGTCCTTCAGCTGACCAGTACTACCTGGCTTGTGAAAGAGGTGATTTAATCAATTAGCTTGTGTGTATTCCCTCAGGCATGGAGCACTTAGCTGGACAATCTGAGTCACTTCATTGTGCAATCACAAATAGAAAAGGGTAAAAACATTTGTCAGACAACAAATACTCGGGCTATATACAGATCTAACATTCACCACAGGCAGTCACGTGCATAACCATTCCATTATTTATACCTCTGTCTACTGAAAATGAATAAAAATCACATCGTCATGTATGTAAACCTCTTCTTACACTTTCTTTTGCACAAGTGCTGCTGTTCTGTCAGAGCAAGGGACAAGCACAATTGTTTCCATCCATGTAAATCTCCAAGATCTACAGACAACTTAAAATTGTCCAAAAACTAAGCAGCTTATGCTCATCATAGCCTTCTAACGTTTTATGGTTCTTCTAAAGGAGTATCACTAGTTTAGATAAAATGTTCAGCAAAAGTTAGCAAAGAAAAAAATAACACTTCCAGAACAGTTGCATCATTTTTTTCTACAAATATCCCAGTAAAAGCCAAATATCTGCTTACAGATATATTCAGATAGTATACTAACATACCCTGCAAATTGTTTCTACTTTCTAACTTTATGCCTTTCAAGGTATAGATTATAGATATTAGAAGAAAGAGCTTCTAAAAAGAATGTTCTAATTTGATTTTCTTATAGAGCAACAAAACATTTGCTCCAATCTAAATGCTAATTATAGAATCATAGAATCATAGAATCACAAGGTTGAAAACAACCTATAAGGTCCCTATAATGGGGATACAGATTGCAATCCTTTTTACCCACTATACAGGAAACAAAATGAACTTATCAGTATAGAAGTGAAGACTTGTTTCTCTGCAGATCACTTTGGTTTGTACAATGCCAGCCATTGCCTGTAGCTTGGTGCTCCAGCAGTCCCCTTTCCCTGCTTCCCTAATTCCCTCCTTTCTCCATGCTCCTTAGTCTGCAGCATGCTGAGGTACAGGTAATGAGTTATTCTGTCAGTTAAGAAGTAATACCAGATCAAAAATGGTATTTTGTCCAGTAGGCAAGAGGCAAGAATAGGATGATACAGGGGAACAGTCGGTATATACAGCATCTTCTTTAGTCATCAAAGGAACAATTGCTTTATCACTTTGTTAACAACAGTCTCAGGACTAGGGCTTCAGGGGCAACATCACACTAAGGCATGGCTTTGGTTTGGAAAGGCCCATCCGGGTATGGCACTTGTTGGCTGGTGCTGGAGCACATGTCCCATTGGAAGAGAGAAGAGATGGGCAGCAGGGCTTCTGTTCTCTTTTTCCCCTATCTCATGAATCCACAAATAGGCAGAAAGAAGTGCTGGGACTGTTATCAATGAGGGACATCAAACTATTTAAAAGCTTTTTTTTCAGTTCTTCTGTTCTTTTTCTGGTCGCTCTTCTCCCACTACGTAATACAATGAGTTGAAAGCCCTGCAGGGATTTACTTCTCTTTGGTTTCAGGATGAAAGGAGCACCAGTATATATGGATTCAGAAAAAAATCAACCCCAAGCCACATTTCTGTCCCAAGCTGGAACAGAACTTTCTGTAGTGTAACATTTGTAGACATTTCTCCTTTTTCATGCACTTTCAGTAACTCCTCTGGTGGTGACAACGACACAGGGAAAAATAAGCTCTTCAGTTCCAGAAATTTGAGAGTTCTAGAATTAAAGAATTATGTGGAGCCTGATCCCCTCAAAGAGCTGCAGCTACTTACAAACAAGGAAAAACTGCGGGATGACAATCAAGGACAGGACAGTCTCGGTTGCAGTGAGCACAAGACTGTGGAGTTTCAGATCCTGAGAGGAGTGAGCAAGACAAAAAACAGAATTACAGCTGTAGACTTCTGATGTGAAGATTTCAGGAGCCTGCTTGGCAAGATCTGTGGGAAAATACCCTGCAGAGCAAAGGCCCAAAGCTGGCTAATCTTCAAGGACAACCTCCTCAGAGCACAAGAACAATGTTCAGACGGTTGAGCAACCGTGGCAGAAGGCCAGAGTAGATGAACACAAAGCTCTTGAGTGACCTCAGACACGAAAAGGAAGCATACAGAAGATGGAAACTGGGACCAGCTACTTGAAAGGAGCGCAAAGACAGTGCTTGCACATGTAGAAATGAAGTCAGGAAAGCCAAAACTCATTTGGAGCTGAAACAACCATGGGAGGTGAAGGGCTCTGTAAATACATCAATAGCAAAAGAAAGTTTCAGGGGAGTGTGGCTCCATTGCTCAAGAGGCTAGGGACTTGTGATTAGAGATGTAGAAAAAGATGTCTTCACTAGTAAGATCTGTCATCAAGACACACTGGTCCTTGAGCTCCTTGCAGAGCCTGTGGGAGTGAGGCATAACCCACAGCAGAGAAAGCCAATGTTTGGGATCACTTCACCCACATGGATGTACACAAATCCATGGGACTAGACAGGAAGCACTCAAAGCTGCTGGCTGACTGATCACAGAAATAAGCTGCTATTAAAGTCATGGCAGTCAGAAGTTCCTCATGATTGGAAAAAAGGCTAACATCACACCTGCTTTCAAGAAAGGCAAAGAGAAAGATGCAGGGAAATACAAGATGGTCAGTCTCACCTCAAACCCTGGGATGGATATGGAGTAAAATATCTTAGAAGCCATTTCTAAAGCACATGAAGGATAATGTAATTGGGAGCAACCAGCATGAGCATTCCAGAGGCATAGCACACCTGGCCAGCTTCAGTGCTTTCTATGATCAGCTGACTGGTGCTGTGGACAATGGAAGGGCAATGGATATGATGTACTCTGATTTCAGTAAGGTCTCTGAAACAGTCTCCATTAGTCTCATCAAACTGTGATTTACAAGGTGGAGAAGGAACGTGGAAAACTGGTTGTGTGGCCAGAATCGGAGTTGTGATTAACAAAGTCAAGGTGTTGACTGGCAACTGGTGGGTGCTCCACAGGAATCAATATTGCAATCAGCACTGCTTAATTCCTTCACTGATGGTGTGGATGATGAGACAGTGTGCACTCTTGGCGACTTTGTACACAACACCAACCTATGAGGAGCAGTCAGTGCACTGCTCATGTCCGGGAGGGAGTAATGCCCTGCATCAGTCCAGGCTAGGGGATCTTTAGAAACAAGCTATGCAGAAAAGGATCTGTGAATCTTAGTGGACAGCAAGGTTGAACATAAAGCTGCACGTGAAGGTAAGTGTTTCTTCCTTTCTATTTTGCATTTGCAAGACTGTGAATTACTGTGTCCAATTTGGGCTCCCCACTACAAGAATGATATTGACATCCTGGATCAAGTCCACCAGGTATCACGAAAATGGTTATGAGGATGAAGAACATGATCTACTAGGACAGTATGAGAGATCAAGTATGCTTAGCTTGGAAAAGAGAGAGCCTGCCAAGATTTTTTTATTTTCTACAACTTTCTGATCTGAGGATACAGAAAAGAGGGAGCTGGGCTCTTCTTGGAAGTGCACAATGCAGAGAAAAAAGGCAATGGACACAAGTTGGAACATGGGAAATTCTGATTCGATATCAGGAAAATAAATTCACTCTGAAGATGGTTAAACAGCAGAAAATGTTGCCCAGAAAGGTTGTGGAATCTCTGTCCTTGGAGAGGTTCAAAACTCACATGGACACAGTCTGCAGCAACGTGATCTAACCAGTCCTGTTCTTAGGTGATCACTGGACTAGATGGCCTTTGGAGGTTACTTCAACATAAATTTTGATTATATAATTCTGTGATAATTCACTAGATTTCATAAATCTGTTCCCAGTCATGGTATCCAGTTACAAAGGGACAAACTGTAAAAATATTACAAAAAATAAGATCTCACTCTACACATAAAACGTCGCTAACGCTAATGGAGATAAGTTGAATAATGCAATAACTGGTTCCTGAAATTAATAAAACTTGGTGTTTATAACACAAGACCCAGTCACTCCTTCCCATCAGACTGAAACAAGTTTTCTAAAGCATCAATAGAAGTCAGCTATACCCACTATATTAAAAAACCAACAGATTTGGTTTATGAAAAGTGAAGAAACATCAAAAATAGTGACCAAGATCCAAGATTCTAATGTTATAGCATCTATTCCATACAAGCCAAAAGAAGAAAGACCTCTTTTTTCTCTATTATTGTTTTTTATTATTGTATTGAAAGAAAAGGGGCATTAGGGGTGTCTGTGAAGGTCCTCATCTTCCCCTTGTTCATGTTCGTAGTGAACATCAGTGAAAATCACAAGGTGACCCTGAGGAAACAAGAACACGTAAAATTACCTTAAATTTCAGACAGACATATTCAGGGTTAGTAGATTTGACAATTAGTCCCTCAGCAGTGCAGGAAACAAGCATGGCTTTGTGCTTCCTGAAATTCAGTTGACTTCAGGGTACAGATAGGCTCTGATGTTAGCAGCCCTCCAGAATGCTGGGTAATGCTAACCACAAGGACACTGAGGTTGCATCTTAGCTTTCCAGTACTATGGAAAGGTCACAGTAGTGAGAGCTCATTTGATGCTCCTAAGACCTGCTGGGGATAGCACAGCTGTCACTGTGGTGTTTCCACTTTGCTGGGATTCTCCCAAAAGGGTAGAGGACCCTTTATAATCTACAAATGCTCAAAGCTCCCTGGTCTGGTGGGGTGCGTGTGTGTACATTTTTCATCCAGAGTGTGGATTTTCAATCTACTGTATAGTTAAAGCTTTGCTATTAGCTATCTTTAGAATGACACAACACAGCAATATGCACAAATTTACAGAACTGAAAAAGAATCAATATTATTTAACTAAAAGTGAGACTTCTCACCTGATTCATTTTTATTACAGGTCCAACCAGGCTGGTGTGGGCCAAGTTAGGAAGAGAAAATCCGTTTCCTAATTTATCTTAAAAAAGGACAAATATATCTACATAAGTAATAATAAAATACTTCAGAAGCATTTTTCAGTAGGAACTCAGTTTAAAGATTTCCCTTTAATCAGTAACCACTGTATCTGTGATGCTTGTATTTGCTAAGAAGCAACAATTCCCATGAAAAAGTAGTGGACAGACCTCTCAAAATTTCTCAGCTGCAATCTGCAATCTGCAATCTGCCTTTGCTCCTTTTCAGACATCTACTCCATGGGATGTGGTTTCTGGTGTTTCCCACTCTGACTTATTTGCCATCTTCCTTCCATTTTATTCTCTATATGGTCATCTAAGCCTGTGGGTCCCTCTTATTTTCATCCATTCCTACTTTCCTGGGTCAAGCCCCAGGTTTTGTCCTACTTGCTTTTTCAACCATTTGACTTTTGCATCCCTCCTTTCCCCTCATCAATATCTCACCTCCTTCCTCAGCAGTCTCCTTGCCCTTGTTTATCCCACAGGCACCTTCTATACTATTCCATATGTTTCTTTTCACTTTCACCTCTTTCTTCATCATCCCTCTCTCTCTATATCTCACTGAACTGATTTTCTACTTTGTCCTGCCTGGGGTAGCAGGCAGAGCATAAATACAGAGGGAAGTGATAATGTAACACTGTCCCAAAGCCACAACATGCAGATGCACTTCTGAGCTTCCCAGATCTGTACCATTCTCTCGTTATGGCTTGACACTGTTGAGATGAGACTCAAGCATGTCTGACCTCTGCTGCTGCACTTCTGTCAATGAGAAGGAAACTCATGCACACTGTTTGGAAAGGAGCTGAGACTTGCTCTGTCCCAGCCTTTGTCTGATTCAGGTGATTGAGGGATCAGCAGACAGCTGTCCAGGTGTAGTCAAACTGACAGAGAACCTCTCACGCTACAGCCCTTGAAGCTGTGCACTCTCTTTAATGGTTTCAGTCTTGCTTTCCCACCCACTGTGCTCGGGAACTGGCCACAGTCCTTACCACTGATTACTGGGATCACTACCCTCCGTAAAGTGTAAGACAGCAAATTCTCCACCAGTGAGACCTGCAGTAAGGGGGAAAACACACTTGGTGATTATTGCATGATGCCCAGGGGACTGCTTCTGGAGGTTGAAAAGCAAGGGTTAGAACTACAAAAGATCAGAAACAAGACCTTTCATTGCTAAGAAGGAAAACTGGAAAATAAAATCTCAGGTTAAAAAAAAAAAAGATTCTTTTTTGTTTTAAATGGCACCTGGATGATGTGAATACACAAAGCAATGCAGTGCTACAAGATATGGTTTAGTAGCTTGTGGTACTAATAGGAATGGGAGGGTGGTTGGACTAGATGATCTTGCAGGTCGTTTCCAACCTTGCGATTCTGTGATTCTGTGATTCTGTTCTGTATTTTTCTTGCAATACTATTTTTTTTCTGTGTGTTAAGTACCTGAACTCAACCTTAACTGTAGGAATGCAATCTGTTTAACTCCTTTTCAGCTTTCAAGTCTAAGTTTTCAGAAATGAACTGTGTTCTGGGTGGCATTAACTGCTCCCACTTCGGTGCTCTGTCTTATCCTGCTGTGCTTGGTGTTTTCCTTCCTTCACTTAAAGGTGTAGGTTGGGTTGAGCTGTTGTAGTTGCCCTGACCAATTCTTGGTATATGACAAATGACCAATCCAGTGGCATGCTGTTTCTTTTACTCCCTGTTTTTTACTCTCCTTTTATTTGCTTGGAGTGATTCAAGATAATTCCTGAAGCTGAGCTTAAGCTTGACTTTGTACTTTTTCCTACTGTTATGTCTACTTAATCCAGCTGTGAGTTCAGGCTGGCTGTCAGAAACATACAGAAGTGCTAGCCCCATGCCTGCCTTTGTCCTGCTGGATGCAGAAGCCAGTAAAATCAATTGTGATGGCAGACCAGGTCATGCAGTCTAGGCAGACACTTCTCCCTGTTTCAATTAATGTTGCATTATAATAATAATATTTGGCGTCTCTATTGACAAAGGAAACAACACCCCCAGAGTTATTTCCTCGTACTAGAAAGAGAAACAAACAAACAAACAAAACAGGTAATGTATTTGAAAACAGAAGGAGCAGTGGCAGATGATATTTCAAATTCAGATGGAGAATTGTCCAGCAACAACTTTGGCTAAACTGCTTTTAATGCTGAAGGGCTCAGCTACCTGTCCTAGGCACTGAAACCGTTAACTTACCTGAGAGAATCTAACAGCAGAGTGCACCAAGGAGAACTGGAGCCTAAAGTGAAAAAGTAAAAAGGATTCACTAAAAATGGTTTTGCATAGTCACTGCTTGAAGTGAACAGTCTTCAAGAAACACACATTTGCTCTCCAGAAAACAGAATATACGTGGCTTGTTTTATTTTTTTCTTAAAGTGCTGCAGAATGTGTGTACAAAAATTGAATCCAGAAGTATAGTAGGTAGTCAGAATTTGCATTTCCTTTACATTTCATTTGTGCAACTTCTTACTGATTTCGTGCTGATTAACATATTTAATTTTGCCAGAGACTCTGATTCTTAACAGTTTCTTTATCAAAACAGATGACTATCCACTTGTTATGGAATCAGGGGGATCTTTCTGAAATCAACCTACTTCTACAGTCATCCATAGTCTTGGGCTACAACTACAAGATTTGCAAAGAAAAATTCTCTGGAATTGCTACTTCCTGTATTGGCTGAAGTACACTTTCCTCAACTGTTTGCTATGATTTAGATGAACTATTCAGTCCCAGCCCAGTCTAACTTTTTTTGCTGATGTCTGTGATACACACTCAGATAACTGTAAACATAATTCTGGAGGAAAAAAAAAACACAACAAACACATCATATTGATGAGCAGAAGAACACAATCTCATGTCAAAAGTTTTGCATGGCAACATTCTTTCTTGAACTCATTCTGACAGGCTGTGATCATCCCAAGTCCTCTTTTCCTGTTAAAAAGGACCAGTGAGCAAAACTCAAAAAAGGCTGCCTACATTTTTCTCCAATGGATTTATAATAGGTTAAAAAATACAATATAGTCTGGAATTATGATCCAGCTTGCAGAGCAGGGCTACTAAGAAGAAACATGGATATGCCTGAAAGTCAATTCTACATAATTACACATTTAGGGAGAAAGTAGCTCTAAAAAATTACTGAGTTTGAAGTGTGAATAAAATTTGCTGAAAGCCAGCTGAAAACACATGTAGATGTAGGTAACCAGAAAACCAGCAAGATGTAAGCAGAATCTAAAACATTCTGAGCATTGTTTCAAATTACAGAGACACTTCCAGTCTCTTTTGTTTGATGGCATGTTGTAGTATCAGCTATTTAGTGTCACTTTTCCCTTTCCTGCATGTAAAGGTGTACAAAGAGCTTGTTGTACTGCTCCTCTAAAGCATTTTCATGGTGGCATCTGTTTATGATGTTCAGACATGGCAAGGCAGCAATATGGAAAGGGTGTAGAATAAACAACTGAACTTCATTCTCTAGCATCAGCACAGACTTAAACTTTAAGATATTGAGTATGTTGAACACTGTCATTTGGAGGGGTATTCAACCTTAAGATAGGGGTAATATCACATTGTACAGGAGAAGTGGTTATTCCACAATATTATTATATTTTCTCTGCACAATATAGATTAAATAGTCAAAAGTATTTTAGAGCCCCTGTGAGAAAGAAGGTAACCATTACTCTTCTCTCGGTGAAACAAGTGCTGTTAGATAGACAGAATGATGTTCTGGTGAGTCCTAGCATTTGAAACATTAATTTTGCTTTCTGAATTGTCCTTAATTACCTCTTCAGAAGTAATGAGATGATCAGCTTCTGTTTGATTACTGTCAAATTGCCTCTGGTACTTGTTGTCTGCGGGGAAAAAACAGAACAGTCTTCTGTGACTGTATACATTTGTGCCTGTACACAGCAACTGCTTTTTGTCATTGGAAACACAACACCTAAACATTATATTTAGTCAGTATGTATAAACAATGAAATCATTTGTGAATTTGCTGCTTTCTGAGTGCAGCAGGGATTACCTGAGTGAAGTGATAATACTGCCCTGATTCCTTCCTTATCATTAGTGTCATTTAAATCCCTGCATGGCTGACTTAATTGGATCACTTTCAACCTAATGAAAAGATGTCTGGGAACACACTGAACAAGAAGGAACAAGTTAGGAACATCAGATAATCCCATTTATATATATTATAATTTATTCTCAAAGAATCACTCAACTTCCCACATGGGAAGAATAAGTTTCATAAATTGCTTGCTGTACATGCGTATTAAATTCTACAGTATGTAGTGCAAGTTTTCTCCCTGTGAAATGCAACAGAACAGTATGTACATTTGTGACAGACTTGTATATGGTATATTATGCTGATGTCTGATTTTAGAAGGACTTGAAAGATTACTGTATAATTTGTTCAGTCTCGGCACTGAATATTATCTTCTAGTTCATGCTACTTACTAGATTCCCTGTAAAGATGTACTGGATGGTTGAATTTGGCAGAACAGCAAACACCTCTACAGACCCAGTGATCCACAGTCTGCATGTGTCTGACTGCAAACTGACAACAGGTGGTGATGTAGCCATCAGTTTCAGAAGCACTGGGCACGCTGTCGGGCAATGCAGAGCAAGCTGTGGGATTTCAGAGAAAAAAGGTTGAATGTGCAGTTCCTGCAGCTTAAGTTTTTTTTAAACTACAGTTTCTGTGGCTATCTCACAACAAGGTGCTATATAACAATACTCTTGTTAAACTCAAGAGTAACTTCCAAATAGTCAATTTTTATTGCACCTATTTAAATGTTGAAGCTAGCATGGCATACATGCTGAGTTGCAGAGACCACAAAGCAAATGAAGAAGCTTTAGATCCACCAACATATATTTAGATATATCTGGAGAAATAATTTAAGGGACTTCAAAAGGAGGGGACTGGTAACACATGATAAAGAAGTGAGGGAATGAGGGAAATGAACAATTCCCCCCAACATGCACAAAAAAACTGATGACCCTGACAATATGACAATCCAGAAAATTGGAAGAGCAGCCTTCCAGAGAGTCATTAAAAAAAAAAACCAAGATGAACTCTTAGAGGACAAAAAATGTCCCAACTTCATAGCAAATGTTGCCATATTAGGTATTTTTAAAGCATCTTGTAAGTATCTTAATGTCTTGCATTGCATTTATAAACTGTGCTCCTCATGACTATTACTTCCCTTTGTACATAATTTCCTGCAGCTAGAAGGTATCTTGAAATAGAGAAGTCAGGCTAGCCCAACAGAGATGACTTTACTTCAACAGGAATAAAAGGAGACTGACCTTGCAGAAGATGTCCAGGACATAGTCTTTATAACTTTTTCAGAGACTGAGAGTGAATTTGGCACTCATGGGGACAGAGAATGACTTCAGATTAGTGTGATATAGGTAGGAAGAACATGGAGTTATCAGGAGAGGACGTATGTTTGAATCTTCCACTACTTGTCAACAAACTCAGCTTCCTTGTCTTCTCCAAACTTTTGCAAATATGTTACACAAATAATATCCACAGCAGACATCAGCTACTGCTCTTTTTTAAAAGATCTGTACAGGCAGAAGTACCCACCTCAGGAACAAAATCTTTCAGCATGGCTGTAGTTAGGTTAAAAGTAGTAGCTAGCTGTAAACAAATGAAATAAGTCAGGTCATTATATGAGCTTAAAAATGAGGGCTTCCTTGAAAAAAGCATACTCTATTTACTTTGATTCTAAATAATCCGTGTTTAATTTAGTATTTCCTTGACCCAGTATGATTCCTAGGGGAGCCACAGTAATCTGTGGAAGAGAGGAGAGAAAGATTTCTTTCCCATGGATCTATCTCAGAGGCACCTACCAGACAGTGAGTACGTGTTATGCTTTGAAAGAACAGACCTGGCATCCTGCTTTCTTCCTGCCTTTGGGACTCTCTCAGATGAAATACACTGAATATGTCAGATAGGACTAAAAAATCTTATTTACCCTTTTTCTGCTGATCACTGTGATGATGCTTTCCAGTGCCAGACCCTCTTAGCAATGTTTCATCAAGCAAAACTTCTTGCAATCCCTGTCTACTAATGCTGTTGTGGAAACAGCATTTCTGAGACAAGTCTTACATGTTCTTCACCCACAACTGAAAGCTTACTTTCCCTGTACCTGCTTCTTGTCTCATTTTGCTACTTTCAGCACAGCCAATACACGTACTGTGGGCCTCTATGCAGCAGATGGTGGACTAATTATTCTTTGTCCTATCTTGCCCTTTCCATTGTTGTTTGGAACTCATGCAGAGGAAAGCTTTCCTTGGTTATTTCATGCATGCTTTGCACACCAGCTCTGTGACATTCATCTCTGCCATTTACTGCCTAGAACTGCCAGTAAGTTCAGGCCTGAGGGAGACTTTGACTATCTAAAATGATGAAATGAAAAAAAAACAAATGTCCTGGTTCAGTCATGTAAGCAGCAGAATTCTGATCCAGACCTGTGTGACATGGCAAACATAATCACAGCATCATAGAATCATTAAGGTGGAAAAGAACACTAAGATCGCCTAGTCCAACTGCCTACCCACCCCACCATGCCCACTCACCATGTCCCTCAGTGCCACATTCATACATTTCTTGAGCACCTCCAGGCATGGTGACTCCATTACTTCCCTGGGCAGCCCGTGAATTATTAACCTCCTCTGCTGACCATTCATGCTACTGGTATTTGTAATTCCATTACATACAAATCATACTCACGTCTTTGGAGATGGTGATGTTAAAGACCCCTGCTCTGTAGTAAGCCAATGTAGCAGACTCAAGAAAATAACTGGAGACTCCTAAGTAGAGCATGGAATCACCTTTGTTTGGGAGACCAAACGGAGCAGGCACAAAGGGAGGGTCTGTGTGATTTCCTACTGGATAGACTGTGCCCTGCAAAGAGTCATTAACAAGTATTTCTACTTGTAAGCATCTGTACTTGTCAGAATGCATTAGTAGTGGTTGAATAGAGCAAATTCTTATCCTATCTTCTTAACCTGAAGATAAAATTGACAATAAGTAAAACCTAAAGCAAGCAAGAGTTTCTTATATGCCTTGAAAATGAGCAAATTGAAGTTCTTTTGGAAAAAAAAAAAACAGGAATCACAGAGAACCTGGACTCCACCCTTTCAAAATTTGAATTTGAGCACACAAGTGAAAGTTCTGAACTGCCACCATGAATCAGAATAAAAATGCTATAGAGCACAGTTTTCTTCTGTTGCAAAGATACAGTTGTTGACTTAATCTAAGAGTGACACTGAAGGAAATTCTTCAGGAACTCTTCTTCGCCTCCTCATAAACACTAAAAAAGTAGTGTAAAAGTAGTGTAAAAGAGAGACACAAAGGAAACAGCTAACCCTGATAAAAAAAGATTGAGAGCTGGAAAACGGCAACTCAAAACCACCAAAAATCAGCTTGTTCCAAGGAACACTGAAGATCAATCACTTCTTTACCTGACTCGTCTGTAATCTCATGATGGGTGTCAGCATGTTGAAGTTTAACTTGCAAATTCTGACTAGCTATAGTTCCAGAATTAAAGATATTGCTAAATACTCTTAAACTGCTTATATCTTCCTTGCAAAAGGTGTCCAAAGAACCTTGATGTGTTTTTTTTTCTTTTTTCTTATGGATGGTGCTTCTTGAATAAAATAAGCAGAGAGAGAGTTTCAAATGTTACTCTAGCATGTCTTTCTAAACTGAAGCCAACTGAGAGCAATAGGGATGCTCTACCTTACAAAGATGGTTGAAGTTGCTGGATCAGCTGAATGTTGCTGGGATATCTCTTGCCAGAAAAGGTGGAAAACTAGTGAGAACGGAACTGCTGTGTGTTGCTTCTCTGTGAGAAGTCTTTTTTGGGTGTGACCTCTCCATATACAAGACATGGACTCATCCCAATCACAGTGGTAGGCATCACAGATTATGTATCACTCATTATAAAGCACATCTGAAGGGACTGAACTGAAATAATTTATTTTGGTGAATTAACCAATGCAGTTACTATATTAAATAAACACTTGTGTCTGGTTTCTAAAACAGCTGTTAATTACTCGAAACATCCCAAATCCTTATTGCTTTTCTAACTGAATAGTGGAGAAGCTAAGACTGTAGTGAAAGAAAATGAAAAAAGGCAGAAGAGTATCAGAACAGACTTTGAGAGCACAGAGATATTAATGTCAAATTACCTTCAAATCCAAGTTAATGTGTGATTTGAAGACTGCTGGAGAACTAACTAGGGAATAGTCTATTTGTGCAAAGGCATCTATTTGGCTTAAGACTAGAAAAAATAATAGATAAAAACAAAATAGGCATTATTACAAAAGCATCATAGCAACTTTTATTTAGTTAAAGGCAAAGATGTTCTAGAAATTATGAATCTGATGAGGGGGAATAGTGGGAGAAGGAAGAAGAAAACAAAAAACCTGCAGTAAGGGAAAGGTTCCTCCAGTTACAGGCCTACTTCTCTTGTTTCACAACTGAATTGACCCCTCAGAAATCTGCTCTCATGCAATACAATACCAAGGGCGGGATCCCCTTAATTGTTTTGTGTTTGCACAAGAGAACTGAACTTCTATATGATTAGCACAGTAAAGGAAAACAGTACTAAATACTTTGGAAGATGACATTAGCATTTTACCCATATCAGTGTTGAAGATGATTTGTTTGTTATCAGACAATGTGACCAAAGACTTCTTTTTCTGAAAAGTACACATATACAACATCTGTCTTCTGACTTTTTTTTGATTGGATTGTAAGTTCTGTTCACATTGCATAAATAAATAGATGGTTTTAAAGAGAAATGGTGAATTCACACAGAGATTATGAACTCCTCAGTGTGATGGCACAGCCTTCAGCAATCTTGAGCCTGAACTGTTTGGGTACCTGATATGCAAACAATGTTCTTGATAACCATGATTTTCAGTAATATTTCCCAGTGTTCGGCACATAGCCATTTTGGGGAAAGAAAACAAACACAAGTCTGCTTCTGAACATGTGGCTATATCTGCAATGCAAACTGAAGAGTTGGAAAGAAATCTCTGACATTAATACATAATAATATATATTATATATTATGTGTATTACTATGAGAGTGGTGAGGTGCTGGCACAGGCTGCCCAGGGAGGTTGTGGATGCCCCATCCCTGGAGGTGTTCAAGGCCAGGTTGGATGGGGCCCTGGGCAGCCTGGTCTAGTATTAAATGGGGAGGTTGGTGGCCCTGCATGTGGCAGGGGGTTGGAGATTCATGATCCTTGAGATCCTTTCCAACCTGGGCCATTCTATGATTCTGTGATTCTGTGTGTACATAATATATAATATACATAATATATGTAATAACGTAGGAGAATTATGTGAATTCAAATTAGTGAGAACTACAGACAAGTATTCTTAGTCTTGCAGAAAAAAAAAAAAGAAAGAAAAAATGAAGAAAGGAAGAAAAAGAAAAGATGTAGGATACTTATTAATTATAGTTGTGAAAATCTTAAACACTTTTTGAGGACTTATATATACTGTCTTCATGCCTCTGTGACATGAGTGACACAGGAACTGTTACTGCTGTGAAGAGAAATACGCGTAGGGTGACTCTGTCTTCCTGCGTCATCTCGTTATCTCACTGACCTCAAGTTTAAAACATGATGTGCTAAGCTTGTGAGATCTTGCAGAACTACAGTGCAAGACTGGATATTTGTTAGCTTTTTAGTGGATTACTGCTGGATTTTCTTATGTCCACTGTAGCAAGAGCATAAAGCATCACTGGGAAAATTCCTTGAGAATCTAAGGAAATAACATTTGTTAGCTATAACAAACTGAAAGATTACAGGTGACCTGCTATGGGGACAGAAGAAATCTAAATATTGCCTATAAGGTTCTTGCAAGAGATTTCTAAGAATCTGAAATGGACAAATGCAGAGAACAATGGCTCAGTCTTTACCTCTTTGCTTTTTTTTTGTTTTTGGTACTGTGAACACAGAAATGGATTGGCAAGTCATAAAAACACTACAAACACTGTGAAAATTACTCAAAAAGCTCAAATCAGCAGCTCACCCTTCTGCTTTCTAAGCTGTGCATCCATCATTTGTATTTTGCATTTGATATTTAGGCATATCTATAGGAAAAGAGAGAAAAGTCAGCAATGAAAGGGCTGTATTTCAACTCCTCTCTTCACTATTTGAAATCATCTTTTCAAACTTACATTTTCCTCCAGTTTAGAATGAATGGCCTTCTCAAGATAACCAGATAGGAAACTATAAATCCAGCTGAAGAAAAGAAAATGAACACAAACACTTTATATCATGGATTGAAGTTTTTGAAATATAAAATCATAGAATATTCCAAGCTAGGGCATCAATGTCATTTAGATTAATGAAAAGCAATTACTAATTTCAGTAGACTATCAATGCTGTAAGTTCTGGGTCTCATTGGAGCTATTTAGAAGGCAATCTGCAAAGCTGTGAATATTAATGTCAACATGCTGATAACAGCCACATTTTCTCTTTAAATATAACAAAAAGCTCTCTAGAAAATCAAAAGGAGAACTACAAAAATTATGTCATATTTTCTTTTGAAATATTAAGTTTTTTACTTAAATTGTAGGTCAGCTTGTCAAAATGCATAATGAGTCTAGATTCCTTCCTGCAAATTTCCATTTGCCATCTTGTACTCTTTAATATACGCAAGTGTCAAGTTTTTCAAATGCAGTCTATATAGTCATATCTTGTCAGCTCACTTTCTGGCACATGCACAAAGAAATGTAGGTTAACCACCCTTCATACACTCAGCAAAGGAGACTGTTCACAAAAAACAGGCCTTTAAAAATCTAATTTGATCTTTCAGTAGTTAGTTGGATCTCTGAAAGGCAAAATTTGAAAAGTGGCCCATATGTGACAAACTCCACTATTTCCCTCAGAGTAATTAGAAAATCCTCTATACATACCTAGCATACATACCTAGATCCTTCATTTAATTTGACTTTTACACTACCGATGCTCAGCTGGCAACTGTGCAGCAACACAGACAAGTGGCCTGTGCTGTCCCGTGATACTTTGAAGACAATTGCAATGAATAGTTCTGAGATGGACAGGGTAAACCCTCCTTGGTCTTTGCTACTTAGAAAAACAAAGTAAAATAAAAACAAACCTCAGTCGGGGAAACATGTCCTCCAAGGGAGTAATTTAAGATACTACCTGTGAATCAGTTTTGAAAGGACTTCTGGCTTCTATCATCTAGAGTGAATGATGTTTTTCTTTAGTGATTAAAGTCAATCAGGCACATGCATTGCATTCAAAACAGGTTAGATGTCTGAGTTTCCAGGACATGAATTTTCCAGTGTTGTGCAGAATTTGAAGAGTTTGCAAAACTGTCAGAATTTCACAGTGACAAAAGACGTTTCAGAACCTCATGATAGGTCATCCTGATGGCCTTTGGGACTGCAGCACTAGAAATCTGTTAGCTAACAAATATATAACCTAGTGGTTCTCAACTTTGTAATTGTTCTGATTCTTGTTCTCCTGTCAAAAATTTCAATAATCCTTTCTAATGTATATGTTCATCCCTTTTATTCTTTCTCCAAACGCATTTGTTCTTTCTCCTTTCTGTAAAAATCCCTACTAAGACACCCCTCTCCAATTTCCTTATTCACAATTTCTAGCAAATTTAGGTACTATTACTACTATGGAGAAAGAGCCCAGCCCAATAGCAAGCACTAACCATGTACCTTTCAAGTTTCTTCTCTGTTGTTCAGGCTAAGAACAATTGTGGGAAAACACAGTCATGCTGAGAGAATAATCTCAATCCAGCTCCAAAGCACAGGCTACCTGTGACCAGACCAGTAAGTACCATTCCCTGTCATAAAATCCCTCCTACCACAACCAATTTCAAATACATTTCTCAATCAATGTATGTGCATTAAGTGACTGTCTGGAGGAAACACCATTCTTCATACCCTCATTTTTCCTGCAAGCCACTAGGAAAAACATTTTCACAAGGAGAGTAATTCAGCACTGGCAGAAATGATGTGGAGAGGTAACGGTATCAACATCCTTGCCTGAACATCCCCAGTGCATAGTTCACCCAATGTGCTGACCAGTCTGCTTTGAGCAGAACAAAATGACCTCTGGAGCTTCCAAACTAGCCTTACCCATACTTCAGTGATAGATCACTGTGAAAGGATCTCAGACCTGCATGAGAGATGGGGAAAATTTTAGCTACTTAGGTCTCTGTTGCTGCATCCTTAACTGCTCTTCTTTAGGAGGAATCCAGATTCTCTGATTCTAGGCTTCTAGGAGCAAAGTGCCTGCCATGAGATTCTGGGACTGGCAGAGTGCACTGGGACACAGTGGAAACAGAGAAGGGATACAGTGAGATTTGGAAACTCAGGAATAATTTTGAAAAAGCTGGGATAAAACCCATCTTACTGACCCTAGATACGGCCCAGTAGGCCTGGGTTGTCAAGGGTCTCCCTTGAAAAGCTGACTTTCAGTTGGGATCTCTTATTTTAAGCTGAAAGCAATGTATTAGGATGAAGGAGTGGAGGGGTTGAAAAGTAAGGCATATTCAGGATTGTTTAAACTTACAGCTATGTACAAAACATAATATGGAACAGAACATAATAGATTGTTCCCTATGTCCCTCAAAAAGGAAAGAAAATTCCTTCATAAGCTTGCACTTCACCAAAGCTGGCTTTGACTCACTCCCCCATATCCTGCATATCAGTTCCTCATCTCCTTTGCAGTTGGTGAAGTCCTCAAAGTTTTATATTTCTTTAGATCATCCCCCAGTCCTTATCCTTAGCAAGAGGGAGAGGTAAATTAGTGTTTGGGAACAGCTGATGTGCTCTGCTGAACACAGTATCCTTTTCCTCACAATGCCAGTATGAAAACTACACACAGATTAGGACCACAGTAACAAGTGCTTTCCAGGCACCAGTACTAAAACTGAATGCAAAACTGCATGTACGTGCTCCTTTGAAATCAGGACATACTGTGAAATGTGCAGCCTGGTGATCCATCTTGCTGTACTATCTGGCTTGCAAACAGAGCAATGCCTACTGCTGTTACCAGGTACTCTATTAACCCCAGTTGTAGAGATTAGCACCTTGAAACCTTTTCTGATATCCCAGATGTTTTAGCCCTCCCTTTTAGGAAAAAAGAATAATGTTGTGATAAAGATAGGTAAGAAAAATGCTGAGATAGAGAAGTGGAAAAATCTGAATGTGATGATGTCATTAAGACAATCTCATACTGCACAGGCTCAGGAAGCCAAGTCATTTATCCACAGTGACTTGACTTGTAGAATCATAACTAGCAACTAAGTTTCTGAATTACAATTCTAATTCCACTCCAGAACTGTCTCCCAACTCCAATTGCACTGTACAGTACTTACAGTAGCCATGTTTTCACTCTCCAGTCTGCACTGATTATAGCAGAAGCATGTGCCACTGACAGACTAACACCAGTGCCAGGAATAAAGGAAGCAGAAGTTTCTGGTATATCTACAGCATCAACTCTGAACCTACAGAGAAAAGGAAGCAGGATGTTAGACTGCATGGTAAAAGGTTAAGAAGGAATACTGACCTATTGAATTCTTCTGCTATTAAAGGCAAAGTCTATGATTTGTTAAAAGAATTTCCCAGGAAGTTTGGAAAAGTATCTGTACCATTATACCGAGTAGCGTCCTTGCAAAAAACATCCTCAATACAATGCTAGGGAAAAAGGATGCCCAGTCAAAACAAAAACCTCCCACTGGGAGAAAAACAAAGTCCTTGAAGTGAAATTTGCTTACTGAGGGAAAATAAGTCTGTCTGTTATACCCAGATGCTGCATCTATTTAAAAAACTTAGGTTGTGTGAATGCTAGCATTCGCTGACAAAGACCAAAGTTTCTCCTTCCCCTTCTGTATCCCCTTCCTCATCTCCCCTTCATCCTCATTCTGAAAATAAAGTCTTAAAGACTTCCCCATGAAAACAATTTTTCCTGATATTTGAAGACATTGTGTTGCAAATGGGTGTGTTGAACTGAGCTGCACATTGTAAAGGTATCAGCTGCAATCTTATCATGAACTGGACATTCCTCATTGTTTCCTGCTATCTGGCAGAGATCTCTGAAATAACTGACTTTCATCTGCTTACCTGGGACTGGAGGTACTAGCTAGGTTTAGTGAAAATGAACATACTTTTTCAAAAACATCTTGGGCAACATTAAGGTTGGCCTAATTAATCCTGTTTTCAGTGAGGTGAGATCAGATTGTGTACTGGGAAGGGAATAACTGGTTGGGAGAATCCATTGTGATTTTGAAGATCACTTCAACTTAGGTTGGAAGGAACCTTAAGATCTTCTGGATCATGCCCTAATCCAAGCCAGGCCAAGTAAGGGCCCTGTTCATTTGAGCATGAACATCTCCAAGGATGGAGATTCTCCAACTTCTCTGTTCTTGCTCTGCTTCTCCTTAGCAATTTTCTTCTAACTGAAGATTTTCTTGATGCAACTTGTGTCTGCTACCCATTATCTCCTCACTGGGTACCTCCAGGAAGAATCTGACTCCACATTCTCCATAATCAACACCCAGCAGACAGTGAAAGATGTGCAGTAAGACATCCCACCACCCCCCATAGTTTTTTCTTATTCAGGCTGTCCAAGTCCAGTTTTCTCAGATGTGCAAAAATTAAGGTCCCAAGGATACTATAATACGATGAATATTAGTAATATGTATATTAGAGCATTACTGAAATATCAGATGTTAGTAGAGGATGTGGGTCCTATCCAGCACAAAGTATGTGAAGTCTCCCAGATTGTTATTTTTTGCTCTGGGTAATTTGTAAGTAAATGAAATTGATATGAAGAAAAAATGAAGTAAAATACTACTGGGCAGCAGAACTTTATTTGGAAGTAGTATTAAAAGGTCAGAAATTACTGTGTTTTTTTTTTGTTACAGTATATTGAAAAAGCTTAAACAGAAAGATGGAAATGAAGGCTGTAAAACAACGTGTTTTTCTATTACTTTCCTTGTTTGGGAATATTGTAGAAAGCTCCATAGATCTTTTATTCCACAGGCTGTTCCCAGCACACAACTTTCCTCAGCAGGAAATAAGAGTAGAGCCTTACCTAATGAAAATGCTATTTTAGCCATTGTAAATCTACACAAAAAGATTCTGCAAAACTCATCTTCCTGCCCCATTAACTCAGATACATCATCCCCATGCACACATTTTCATCTTATTGTTTCGTGATGGCTTTTCCCTCATGAAACTCAAACAAATCACCTTCTCTGCTACATCTCCTTCATAGTAGCAGATGGTTAAGAACACTAGTTTTTCCCTTTATCCCATACATTTTTCCCACTGTGTCATATCCACATGTACAACTGCCGTTGCCCCAAACTCTGAAACAAATCAACTAATGAAACAGACAAACTGCTCTTTCAAAGGCCCTCTAAAGCTCATCTCTGAGCATGGTAGAAGGAAAAAATATGAACATGAGAAAAAAGTTCTTTTCTTTGAGGGTGGCCGAGCTCTGGAACAAGCTACCCAGAGAGGCTGTGGAGTCTTGTTCTCTGGAAATATTCAAAACCCACCCAGACACTTTCCTGTGGAGCCTACTGTGGGCAACCTGCTTTAGCAGGGGACTGGACTAGATGTCTCCAGGGGTCTCTTCCAACTCCTATGATTCTGTGATTTTGTGAAATACTTTTAAAACTGTTTCAGCAGTTAGATGAACCATTAAAGTTTTGTACTGAACAGTAATAAAAAAAGGCTGTGTAATTATTACTGTGTTGCATCCTAAAACTTTGAAATGCATTTTCTTCACTTACCTTGAGATTGTATAATTCACCTTCACAATGGAGAAACTCTCCTGCCCACTCCAGCTTGGGAAGGTCTCTTTCAGTACTCTTTGCTTCAGTAGTTCTATCCCAATCTTCCTACCTACAATGGGACAGAGGAAATCAGATACCTTGTAGGCCAGATTATGGCATGCAAAGGTCCAGATATACTGACAAATAATTCAATCGCTTTTAACATAGTTCTGAAAACTCTCCCATTCTTAAACCCTTACCTAGACCTCTTTCCAACTACTTACATGTCTGCATCTGTTGTCCCCATATGAATCATTCAATTCAAGATCACAGTGATCTTGACTTGCATTTTACATTCTAGAACTCTTACCAATTATTTGAAACTGTTATACTTCCTTCACTTCACACACAGTGTGGATAACCTTGGAAATACTTGGTCATCACATTTCTCTCAGATTGTCTTACATCTGTTGATTGAAGAGGCCTGTTAAGTGACAAGATGACCAACATGCATAGTCCTTACTTATGTAAGAAGTGTGAACATATGCATATGAAGTGTTGGTATGTCAAATACATTTTTACAGGAGTTTCTTTATCTTTAGAGCCTCACAGCTGCTGAATAAAGAACCCCCCCCTAGAATTCAGTAATTAAAAAAGCAAACAATGACAATAAATGATAATTCATGATGATTCCCTGGAAATTCCTTCTTCAAAAGCAAAAACGTAGACTCTGTTTCACAGAAATACCCTAAAGCTCACTTATGGTTCTAAATGAGAGCAGCCAGTGACCTCAAATGGAGTCTCTCTCAAAGTTCTGGCAGAACGGGTGAGCAGGGAGGATCTATTGATTCAGCCTTCAAATCTCATGTTAAAGGAAAATACATGATTTAGCAGAGGTTTGTTAGAGTTAGGGTAGTATGGTTAGGTTGCAGTTGGACTTGATGATCTTTAAAGTCTTTTCCAACTTGAGCAATTCTATGGTTCTATGACAGGCACCACACTTTTCAAATACAAGAAATACCATTGGCAGAGTCACTGTCAATGTCTGTTCTTACCCCCTACGGCTAACCCAGGGTTAGTCTATAACTTTGGCACTTGAAAGCCATGCTTACTGCTGGGCTCATATTAAGAAATAGCAGACTGAATTTTCATTTCTAAAGGCAACAGAGATGCCTAGGGAGTGCTTTTCCTGGCATTTCATAAAGAGATACAAAGAACAGTTCTGTTTTGGATGACTGATGTTTGCCCTGCACTTCTTAACTCCCCAAAAGCCTTAAAAACAATGTTCATACAGAGAAATAAGTAGACCTGATCCTCACTTTCATCTTGAACTCATAAGCCTCAAGCTTCTACTTTTCATCTCACAAGTCCATTGTCTAGCTGTCAGTGTGTTCAGTACATAAGTAATGATTAATCCTTAGCATGACCCAGCCTTTGCTGAATCAGTACCTTGTTAACCTTTATGATTAATATTAATTCTGTGAACAATTGAAATTGTACTGAGTGCCCTCCACACCCACAGACTACACCTTCAGCAGGAGGCAGTGAGAGCTAGCCTGAATAGAAAGAGTAAGGAAAATGCACTCTAGAGGTTAGGAGTGCCATGTACAAGATCGCTGATGTTCTGTAGGGGTCAAAATTACAGCAGATGGTTGCTAGATTTTTTTTTTTATTTTTAAGAACAGCACATGCAGATTCTATCTCACCTCAAATAGAAGAATGACAGTAAAAGTGTGCAGTTACATGCCCATTCCAAGATCATAAGCTTTCTTTTTTCTCAATTATATGTTGATTATCTTCAATTCAATATCACACTTTCAATGAAGATGTTAGCACTTTTTAAAAAGAAACAATTATATGACCATCTCATTCTAGTTCTAAGACAGTAGATAAATATGAGAAGTGTAATAGAAACACTGTTGGACTGCAGGAGCATGCGGTCCCAAATTCGAGGATAAATTTGTACCTTGAGTCCAAAAAAGAGACTAAGAGAAAGAAGGGACAAAGGGTGTTCTGCTGCAAGGTGACAAAAGGAATATATTCTGCTTTGGTATGTAAGGACCAGACTTCTACACTGCACCCTTTTTAAAGAACTATATTCTGTACATAGAATATTTATGGTAAATTAACTTGTGGTAATGACAGACATACCATAATCCAGCCCTTTCTGAGTAATTCTCACTTTAAGACCAGGATTAGCTTCAAGTTGTAAAAAGAGCAAACAGGGCAGGAAAGAATACCACATCTTTTGCATCTTCTCACCTTTGTCACTGGGACCTGTTAAGAACATTTATGATGCAAACGTGATTGTAAATGATGCATACCATGAGTCACAAAAAATCTTTATCTGTCACTGTTCCCTCCAGGAAACGAGGACAAGGGTGGATACCCATGAGAGGTTTAGCTGGTGATTTCACTGCACAGAGTGGTCATTGTGGGAGCAGTGATTAACTGGACAGCACTCCAGTAGGCATCACCTATTGGTGAGATTGCATGGTTCTGCTCCACTATGCTTTCCTCTCACCCATGTTTTAGCTGGTTTATTTTACCATATCCTAGCTCCTGCAGAGTGAGCGTGACAGAACAATACCAGCTGAGAAACATCCGTCCTCCTAAAAGCCAACACCCTCTTCATATAGATAGACAAACTTCTGACTTAATCCAAACACTGATCAAATCAGCTCCTAAGAGAGCAGTGCAATGGTTAATTCAAAACATGTACAAGAATTACACAGTGATCACATGGCATACCACAGTATAGCGTGTCTGAAGGCAAAGCAAGTAAGACACTACGTGGTGGGACACAAACACGAAACACAGCTTCACAAAAGCAGTGACAAATCAGTTTTTTTGTTTTTTTTCTTTTACACTTACAGAAGTAAGGTTTCTTTGTTCAAAACTTGCATTCATCATGATTTTCACTACCAGTGACAGGCACTGTTAGATTCCCTAGAAGTTGAATGTTGTTTCTTATGATAACTCAAGTATAACAAGTGCTGAGTGGAATTTTTTTAGGGGTCTATGGTGATTTTACACTGGCCTTAACACTGAGGAGACCAGATCACGCTTTTCCAATGTGTAAGGCTGTGATCATATCTACTTATGTACAAAACCAGAAAACATACAAATGTATAACAAAACAAACAAAGAAACATGTAACTTCCTCCTCCAAACCTTTGATAGTCTTACTTCTTTGCTGGAATTAATACTAATGAGACCAGACTTCGAACAGCTACAAATCCAGTATCAACCCAGTAGCTCATAAAATACTGCTCTTCATGGGACTTCTGAACTGTAAAATAGACAAAATGCTTTATCAGTGTTGTTCTGATAACAGTTATCTGAAGGAATCCTTAAAAATCATAGAAATCATAGATAAGAATAATAGAAAATCATATAAATCATGAAATACTTCTGAAATCACCCCAGAAATTCCATGCAAGAAAAAGTGGTTTCGGGAAAAACAAACAAACAAACAAACAAAAAAAACCAGATAAATCCGAAAATATGATCCAAATTGAGACAAATTTGGAAAATTCTTCTTTACGTGGTCTTTCCATCTCTAGTTTTTATGCTTCATTTCTCTATTTTAATCAACACAACATGAAGAATTTAAGATAGCAGTGTTACATAAAACAGCCAGCTGGAGTCACAAACTCTAGCATTTTTCCAAAAGTCTTAGCTTTTCTTGCAAATGTCACTTTTTCTAGCCTAATTCTATGGAGTCAATTAAAAATCAATATAAAAAGAAAAAGACAGATTTTTCTATCATTAAATAAGGCAGATATATACTAGATATTTACCTAACTTATCTAAAAGGATTGCTACCAGCACTAACATAGGTGAGGTACCTCATTGTCATTGAATTTCACTCCCACTGAGGATCAGAAAACAGCAACCTTAGTTACTTCTTCTCTTTGTAGTTACATGCTTTTGTTAATATCTTAAATGTATCCCAAGTGTGAAACTGAAAGAACAAACTGAACTTTCATGGTGCTAGAAGATGGTATCACTTCATATTGTTTTCTCAAATCAACAAGCTTTACATTCACACTCTAAGGCTGATATTCTCAATTTCATCAAAGACCAAAGCCTCTGTTATACGCCAGGGTTGATTGTACAAGCTTAGTCAGATGACCACAGCAGACAAAACTAAGGAGGTGGGAGATATCAGCTGCCTGATAATCTAAATAAGAGCTGCCAATTTCATTGCTGATGACAACAGATGATAGACAAATTGCTCTGATTTTTATCTTAATTAACTGAGCACGTATCAAGCAACTCCTCTCCATAAATAATTCTCTTAATTCTTTTGTCTTTTCAGAGATAGAGTGTTCAAGTATCTTAAATAAAGAAAAAAGATGAAAAACTGTTTTGCTTCAGCCTGTGTACTTGTCTCACCCTGATGAAGTACTCTTCTCACCGGAATGCAGATATTAGAGTTCTGCCTTGTGAAGTCTGCAAAACAGCTTAAATGAAACTTGCAATAAAGATAACAGCTGAAGTTTGACTGAGAATCAAAGCCTTTGATACAAAAAAAAAAAAAAAAGTCACTATTATTGTCTTGTTTAACACATTTAACACAGCCATAAAACACACCATCTTAAATTGATCAACCTTTAGAATATCCCTGAGAAAGAATGCTGTCAATGTCTTGTGTTGGCCCTGAACAAACTTTTCAATCACTGCCCACAAAAGAATTTTTTTCACTTTCAAAAATTCAGCGAAGAATAGTTAAGAAACACAAAACAAACAGTTCTCACATGCAACAGTAAAAAAACAGCATAAACCCAACCTGCACTCCAGAAAGAGCACTTAGTTTCACAATCTCTCTGCTGTTAGCACAGAACTGGGATTAGACTTTTCAGTTTCCTCCTTGTTCCATTTCTTCCAGTTACTCAGCAGCACGCTCAGGAATAGGTATGCTTTCTGCAGCTCGCTCTGCAATATCAAATCAAAATGACTCAATAGCTTCATGTTTTTAACCCTTCCTATACAATGATATTCCATACAGAAAATCACTCAAGGGAAAGGGAATACAACATTTATATGGTTACTGGGAAGGAGATATTGCTAGGTATGCTTAAAGTATCCAACAAATGATACAGAGAAGTTTGCTAAAGGACATAAAAGCAGGTAATCTTCTGCTCCCTACTGCCACTAGAAAGCCTTGGAGTGTAGTTGCCAGAGAGCTACTAATCTGTGCTGGACCACAGAAAAAACAACCAAACCAAACCAACACCCATAGCTGCAGTGCCTACACAGAACTCATTGATGATGTATAATTATGTTGAAAGGCAGTTGTCTGATGAACTGATGGAAAACAAACACACACTTTCCACTGTTTTAATCCATTTAGTTTGCATTCCTGACTGCTGTAACTGTTCTGTCTTAGCACCTGAACCAGGACTACTTGATTCACTTTTAACAAAGTTTATTTAACAAAGTTGGTGTTCTCACACTGCACACTGGCCTCACAGCTAAGAACTGCAAGGGTGTTGCTAATGCAAAGATATCAAACTCTGTTTCTGAGGTGTAACTCCAAAGAATTTTGCTCTGCACATAGCTCTCAGTAGTTCAGTAGTGAAAAGAAATATATAAAGAACAAAAGCAGGTACTTGTGAGAGGTAGTCTGATCTTCAAGGACCCTAAGATTTCCTTGATAAACTCATAAAATCTTACATAGGACATGATTGCCTAAGATATGTAAGATCACATATTCTGCAACTCAGGATCCTCTCCAATCTAAGGTTCTCACATCATAGCTGACAGCTCTGGAGGAAAGACGGTATAGCGACCAGTTGGTCCCGAAGGATGTCCTGAAGGACATTCCTGATTCGGACACCTCTGTCAAATTTTTTACAGCCTCCAGTAGAGGAGTACTTTGATCTTTGGTCAAGAATGATGAAGGAAAGCAAAATAAATTATACAGTAGAGTATTTTTTCTACCAGCATAGTAGACAGATTTCCCATGAGTAGATTCCTGGATGCCAATTCTGGCATGGAGTTACCTGTTAACAGCAAAATGAAGACACTATCCCAATTCATGGCAATTGCAGATAATAATGGAAGAACTCTTTCCTGTGCTGCCTAGGACATGCACCTACCACCACTGGAAGCTGTGCTTTTTATGATACCTTTCCTAGGTTCTACCTGTACAAGGATCATACACGCAATTAATACAAGTGGGTTTCAAATTTCAATTTGAATTTCAAATACATTTTAGGAGTAAAGTTGACCACCATCAAGCTGCAAGAAGCCAGGAGGTTCTTTCCACTGGCTTAGATTTGAACATCCCTGACAGTGTCACACTCGGAATGGTACCCTGGATTTTCAGATCTCCTGATGATACTGCTTTCTCCATGCCCATCTGCTCATCCTACCACTTCTGCCATTCAAAATATCAGAATCCTACAGCTTAATGTATATTTTTTATATTTTATAAAACACACTCTTTGCAGTAGTAAGTATAGAAAGAAAAACACTGGAAAAGGTCCACTGGTTCACTCTTTATTACTGCACTCAGCTTTCAGAAAAAAATATTCCATAAGGTTTGCAAATGATCCAAAGAGACCTTTACTTTTTATAGTTCTCCCCTGCCATGGGAAGTTGACTGCAGGTCAACAGGTCTGGAGCTATATTAAGTTTCAAGTTTCTCAAGATAAATTTTACCATTAGGGCTCTCAATAGTTTGACTTCTTTGGTGAAATTCTTTCTATTATTTTTTACACTGACCACATGTGTGTGGGGTACTTGAATTGCAAAATTATGCTGATTTCATGAAAACCATGAAAATCATATTTTCAGCTACTTAATACTGACAAAGAACTTTCTTTTGTCACTATATTGTACAGTCTTTTTTTAAAGGATTAGACTAATAAAAGTTACCAATTCTGATAAAGCAAACCATGCTGAAAGCCAAAACTCTTGTACACAACCCTTTATTCAAACTTGTAAGCACAGAAGTACTGCATCCAGACCTGGGGCCCCCAGTACAAGAAGAATCTGGAGCTGCTGGAGTGGGTCCCAAGGAGAGCCATGAAGATTGGAGGGCTGGAGTACCTTTTCTGCAAAAAAAGGCTGAGGGAATTAGGTTGGTTCAGCCTGCAGAAAGCTCCAGGCTGAACTCATTGCAGCCTTCCAGTATTTGAAGGGAGGTTATAAGCAGGAAGAGGAGCGACTTCGTACAGGACAAGGGGAAATGCCTTTAAAGTAAAAGAAGGAAGCTTTAGGTTAGATGTTAGGAAGAAGTTCTTTACTCAGAGGGCAGTGAGGCAGTGGCACAGCTGCACAGAGAGCTGTGGGTGCCCCATCCCTGGAGGCACTCAAGGCCAGGTTGGATGGGGCTTTGGGCAACCTCAGCTCTGGAGGGTGGCAGCCCTGCCCATGACAAAGGGTGGGAAATCAGTGATCTTCAAGGTCTCTTCTGACCTAAACCATTTTATGGTTCAGTGATTTCCATACTATTTTTGTAAAGCGCCTTGACCAGAGGCACTCTGGTCTGAGGTCAGTTTCAGACTTGATTACTGGAATTCCCTCCCCTACAGACAAAAGAAAATCAAAATAGCACAGAAATTCATTCATCAAATAATTTCCCTTTTATTACAAAAATAAGACAGTGGACTTGGGCCATCTGAAATGGGCACAGGCCAACATGGAAGCTCTGCATACCATTTCAGCCTTTTGTTTCTCAGTTTCTCCTGTTTAATATTGAGAGCTGCGGGCAGAGCATGTCTGAACCTGTGGCATGACTTACAAAATTCAAAGGAAAAATTGTCAGAACGGCAACAGAAATGCTTATTAGCTGATTAACTAACAAGGATCAATTAGTGTCAATGCAGCCAGGTTCTGAGGAACAGAAGCATCTCACTTCATGCTTCTTTAGCTTGTGCAAGTGGCTAACGTGGTGCTTCTGCTGAAAATAAAGCAGATGAACGTTTATTAAATGAACGTTTATTTCTCAGAAGAGCACAGTGGAAACACGGCAGGTGGCTGTGAGAGGATCAACACTCAAAAGCAAAACAGAGGAGGGTATCCACAGCCATTGCAAAAACAGTCGCGATGCTGAAGGAGCACGACACATTGCAGAGCCAACCTCCTCCAAGACTCAGGCACAGTGCTCACGGTGCCCTTTCTGTGCGCTCTCATTTCCCTCCTTGCCGTTGATGGACGTAGTTTAGTTAGCACCGTGCTGACAATCGCCTTCCTATCTCATACCCCCCCGCCACAGCATACCACGCGTGCGCGCCCGCATGCGCAACAGCAAACCGCACACCGCGCCACCGGCGGCGGCCATCTTGACACACCGAGCAACAGCTCCTCAGCCGGGGCGGGGCCGGCCGGAGGCGGGGCCGGCCGGAGGCTGAGGCGGCTCCGCGCCAACCCAAACACCGCCACGCCCCGGCAGCCCTTGCGCCCGCCGCCCGCCACCATCGTTAGCCGGCGGGGGCCCGCACGGAGCGTCAAGCGGGCGGGCGCTCGGCCCCGTCGGCCCCGCCAGCCATGAAGCTTCGCGTGCGGCTGCAGAAGCGAACGGCGCCGCTGGAGCTGGAGGGGGCGGAGCCAACGCTGGGGGAGCTGCGCGCGCAGCTCCGCCGGGCCCTGCTACCCGCCTGGGGCTACAGGTAGTGCGCGGAGCGAACCATCCCGCGGCGGCGGGGGGGCGGCCGGAGAGCGGGGCCGTACCATGCTGGGTGGGGTCGGGGCGGCCCGGCCCATTTTTCTCTTCCTCCTCACTCCTGCTCGGGATGTGGCGCTGCCGCCCCCTGCGGGGAAGGGTCCGTAGGGGTGTGGGAGTTGCGCGGGGCCTGGCCCCGGGCTTGGCGAGGCGTCTACCCTCATATAGGAGCGCGGTCCGAACGGTTGTAAGGCGAAACTTAATAAAAACTTCCGAAGAGTTTTGCTGTACGGTTGTCAGAAGCAGAGCGAGGAAGGAGGGCGTACTGTGGGGAGTGCTAGCCTCTGGAATATGGGTTGTGACTGTTGGAGCTGATTGAGCGCTGCTGTGTGGCCTTCGTCTCACAGAGTGTTCGGCAGGGTGTCTATTTCACATAGTACGGAAGGGGACAGTCTCTGCGTTCAGACAGCACAGAAGGTTTCAGGTGTGAGGAACTCATGGCAGTCTCCACGGTCAAACCTGTTGCCTCAGCTGTTAAACACCTCCAGAAGTGGCCCATTCCTGAGGCAGCTGAAAGGCTCAGGTTCAGTGACCCTTTGCTTTCCCTTGTAATGCTTTTGTGGGCAATTGTGATACTTACCAGGCAGCTTCCATTAAAGTGTACATGGAGAGAAACAGGGGAAAAGCTTCAAACTTTAGTTATTTCCTCACTCTTGCTATTATGTATTGCTGAGTATTACAGAATTACATGGTTTGGCAGGGACTTCTGGAGGTCATTTAATCCAGTGCCCTGCTAAAGCAGGTTCCTTACAGTAGCTTACACAGGAAAGCAATTGGGTGGTTTTTGTGTATCTCCAGGGAAGGAGACTCCACAACCCCTCTGAACAGCTTGTTCCACTGCTCTGTCACTCTCATAGTAAGGAAGTTTTTCCTCAAGTTCTTGTGGAATTTCCCACATTCCAGTTTGTGTCTGTTGTTCTGATGCCAGGCACCACTGAAAAGAGCCTGACCCCATCCGCTTGACTCTTGCCCATTAGATTCTTATCAGCATTAATAAGATTCTGCCATCAAGACTTCTCCAAACGGAGTGGTGCCAAGGCTCTCAGCCTTTCCTGATATGGGAGATGCTTCATGCCCTTCACTGTCTCATTGGCACTTTGCTGGCCTCTCTTAGAAATTTCCTGACTTTCTTGAACTGGGCTGCCCAGAACACAGCACTCCAGATGTGGCCTCAGCAGAGCAGAGGAGAGGATGACCTCCTTTGACTTGCTGGCCACGCTCTTTGCAATGCCAGTGGCCTTCTGGGCCACAAGGGCACACTGCTGGCTCATGGCCAGCCTGTTGCCCACCAGGACACCCAGGTCCTTCTCCACAGAGCTCCTTTCCAGGGGGTCAGCCCCTCACCTGTACTGATACATGCGGACATTCCTCCCCAGGTGTAGGACGCTATGTTTGCCCTTGTTGAACCTTACTGATGGATTAAAACCCAAAGGAATAAAATTTGTAGATCACAGTATGTTTTTTTAACTATACCTCTGTGTACAGCTATTTAAATGCGGCTAACTGTGTTTCCTTGTTCTGTCATTTTGCAGTTGTGATACAGAGTTTTCAGTAACATTGAATGGCAAGGATGCTCTTACAGAAGATGAGAAGACTTTAGCTTCATATGGGATTGTTCCTGGTGATTTGATATGTTTATTACTAGAAGAAACAGACGCCAAATCCAGCCTACCTCCTGCCTCATCTTCAAGTCCTCCCTCACTTCAGAATGGTCGTGAGACATCCACCTTGACTCCCAAAAGTCCAGCTGACAGTCCAAAAGAAGAAAGGCAGAATGAACAGTCTGACAACCAGAAAGCTCAAGTGGAAGCTCAGAAGAGTGACAGTAGGGTAAGCACATTGACAATGGGCTTGTATGACACAAGACAAAAAATGAGGTATCTTACATCAGGTGATGCACTGCATAACAAAGAATCTCTTCAGAATATTTGCCTCCTTATGATTGTCTGATATTTGCCAGTTATTTGGATGGAAGTCTGTGTTCATCATGTACTAGTTATGTCCCAGTTCCAACAGGTATCGTGAGATGTTTTGGGTTTTACATTTTTACAGAATTGCATGTCTTTTGCTGGAACATGCACTTTGTTTAAGGAATTTATGAGTATTAGCTGCCTCAGCGCTTCCTTGAATTTGAAAAAAATTGAAAAAAAATTACTTCAGGTACCACAGAAATGCAGCAAATACTGAAATACCACTCACAAGTTGAGTGCGTGATTCCTTTCTCATGGTTACAACAGTTCTCTATGATTCAGGTGGTCTGCTTGGAATGACAGATCTGTCTATCCTGTGCATGAAGTTAGACAGGTGGCTCCTGCCAGTGCTTCAGAAGTGTACTGTTGTATGAACCCACACACCTATTTCCAGTTAATAGGCATGTCTTTTGCATATTATTCAGTGCTTTGTTTGTGCCTGTAGGTAGAATAGTTGAACAGATAACTGCATCTGCCCGATGCTGAGTCCCGTGGTGAAAGTAGTCTTTCTAGAAGAGACCCTAGGTGCCATGCTGCTTGGTGCCTGTCTCATTATATGATTTTGTCCCTACCTAGACAGGAGCTTGAGAATCTGCTTATTTGTTCTTTGATTTTGGATTAGTTGTAAAAAAAAAAATAATAATAATATCACTTACTACAACCTTTTTATGAGAAATATTGCTAAACGTATGTATAAAGCATTGTTTCAAAGTATAGGAATTAAGATTTAGGATCCAAAAAATTCTGAGTAGTGAAGAAGAATATAGTTGGACCATTGTCCCATAGATTCTTCCAGGAGTAAAGTGTCCCTAGTACATTGGTGCTGTGGGCATGCAAGCCAGTGCGAGAAAGGAAACAACAATAAAGCCACAATCTTTCTGAAATGTCAGCAGATGCATTCTGTTAATGATTCTTATAGCTACTTAAGCCTGTTGTATTTGTGAGCAGTCTGAGTTCATGATGTTGGTTTCTTGCTATGCATGCTGGAGTACCACAGTAATTGTTCCTGTAAGCGTTGCAAGAATTCCGATGAATGTTTTATAAGTTATTATCAATTGGCAAGAAAACGACAGACCTTTTTTTATTAAAGACTTGCATTATAAATATTGAAAAAATACAGAGGCTGTGAATATAATCCCAGTCTCCAGGTGGGATGCTAGGAAATGGAGATGAATTGAGACTGTAAAAGTTACATGGGAGATCTGTAGTATAGACCTGGTGCCCACGAAGACTGCCAGACAGACCAGTAATACTGATACTATAATTTTCTGCATGTATCTTTTGTGATCTCTTGAAGGCAGGATCCAGCCTAGAATTTCCTTCTGGATTAGTCCCAGAAGATGCTGATCTGGATGAAGGTGCCGGTTCCTATCCTTCCGAACCTATGCTGTGCAGTGAGGCTGCTGACGGAGAGATTCCGCATTCCTTAGAGGTGCTCTACCTTTCTGCTGAGTGTACCAGTGCCACTGATGCCTTGATTGTCCTAGTACATCTTCTCATGATGGAGACAGGCTATGTACCTCAGGTATGTGCACAACCAAAAAGGAAATGTCTTGGGCAGCGGGAGAGAACTGTAGTATATTATAAGAACCTGTAATGCAAGGTGCCTCTAGAGATCTGCATCAGGCTGTTTGTATACAGTCAGCAGCCCAGTTGGCTGAAGTATCAGCATCTCTGACTGGCAAGTATGGCTTAATGCTAAACACTAGAGCAGCTTTTAGGTGTAAAAGAGGCCTGCCTCCATGTTCCTCACAGTCCTCAACTGGAACTCAGCTGATAACCTCCCATTTTTGCTTTTTACTGTTAAGCTTGTGTAGATGTGCTTGGATTGTAGCACTTCATTATAGTGCTGTCCTCAACATGAGTATAATCTCAATAGGCTACAGTTAAAATGGTGGCTAACAAGGCTTAGGTATACCTAACTATTGTCATCTAACTTACATCATCTTCAGCAGGGTTCAGTTAGCCTTTGGTTTCACTAATGTCTGGAGGTATCTAGACTTTATAGACTTCATACTTAAGCACCTGTGGTTTTGTCTCTGTACAGTGAGATCATCTTTTCCCTTTAGGTTTTCGTGCAACTTGCATTACATGTTTACTATTATGTGACTGAACATAAAATACTTGTTACCAGAGAAGGTAGTGTCCTGTTTTTCCTTGTAGTGCTAAAAGCACATGGAATTAGGTCTGTTTGACAAATATCAGTTTAATTAATTTGTTAACAATAGGCTAAGGTACTGTCCAGTGAACACATTTGCCATAGGGAGCAAAGTTTATTTCAATTTGTGGACTTGGAAGATAATTTTTGTGCAAGTTTAAGAGGAAAGAGAGACCCTGCTTGTCCTTGTGGTTTTGTTGTATCTCTTTCTGTGGGACTCCGAGTATTTTCATACTGAAATTGAAAGAAAAATTGTTAATCCACTGAGATTTTCCAATTGTTTTCAAGCTATGACCTTCAAGTCCTGTCAGAGATGGCAGAAAAGGTGCAATAAGATGTTTTAAATGCAGAAAATTACCATACATTCAGGAATTATCAGAATGTTGGAATGAATGGTAGAGTGAAGTGCAGACTTACACAGTGAGTATAAGTCTACATGCTGAATAACTTTGCCAGAAAGTGGCACAAAACAGAAATTGCTAAACTTGTCCTTAGATTTGCTGTTAGGTTTGGGGGAAAAAAGTACATACTCACACAGTTATAGTCTGTATCGTAATGCAGATTGGGACTAAACTGAAGATCTGAATTGCAAACACAGTTCTGGCATTTTCAAATTGCTAAAAAGTCCTCTTTTTCCATCTGCAGATATGACAGTATTATCTGTGTATTTTCAGGGGACAGAAGCCAAGGCAGTGTCTATGCCAGAGAAATGGAGAGGGAATGGTGTTTACAAGCTACAGTACACGCATCCCCTTTGCGAAGAGGGTTCTGCTGGTTTGACTTGTGTGCCTTTGGGAGATCTTGTTGTTATTAATGGTAAATTAGTAAAGTTTTTATTCTGGATATAGGTTGCTAAATATCAGCATTGCTTAGCAAGAGAAGACTTACATAAACTTCTTTGGAATCACGTCATTATCCAGATTGATGAGGTGCAAGAGATGCCACTTCCTGATGCAGAAAATTCTTGACATTTCTTGCCTCAGTATAAACTTCTTTCTCTCTAATGAGAATGGAATAATGTTTGGGGAATTCATTAGCATTTTTATTACAGTGTTGTAAAAATACGGGTTTTATCTCATTTCATTGGAACTGTAGTATACATTAATAAATACTAAAAAGAGATAGATTTCATCCATTTTATTTAGTCTCATACTCTTTGCAAGACTTAAACCATTTCTAGGCTACCATATTCCTTAGTTCTGAGGTGTGTTCTTTTCTGTCCTTACTGAGACACATGAACATTCTCACTGTGGTCTCAAAAACCATATGTGTTTTAAGCTGTTGAAGTTCTTCCTAGAGTTTATAATATCTGAATTGATATGTCTTCAATGACTGGTTTATTACAGTGGCTCGTTATGTACCACTCCTAGCTCTATTAGATCTCTTTCCATGTAATAGAATTGTTGAAGACAATATTTGTCACCAATATCTTTGGTTATTCTTTTCAATTAGAAGTTCTGTTCTGATTTTCTGAAATTTCTATTTATCTGACTGCTAGCTGTCATTGGTATTTTCCTTGACAGGAGCTGGTAAGGGAGAAAAGTAAAGCACCTCTTAGAGTAAAGCAGTAATGCAGTGGTCTTGGCTGTCTCTCAGTATGTTTTCAATTTTGAAATATCTCTTTTTTTTTTTTCTTTTGATGTTTGCAGCAACATTAAAAATCAACAGAGAGATTAAAGGTGTGAAGAGAATACAGCTGCTGCCAGCATCCTTTGTTTGCTTTCAGGAACCAGGTATGCATGAGCTATAATATTGATAATAGTAAACTGGGAAGTAGGTAAGTGATGTAATAAGTAAGGATAGTAAGTGGAGGACTAAGTAGGCAAAAATTAGCAAGACATAATAAAAATGTGATCACTCTTTAGATGGGCTATTGCTTTATAGTAAAAGGAATTCAGAGTATAGTCATTTACTTGTATTTTGCTGCTAAAATAATTTGAATTTCTTTGATTAACTGAATAAAGAAAGGATTTTGCAAAGATTGAGTCATGCTTTGTCCCTATTGCCTGTTATTTATGAAGTCCTAAATGTAAATCTAAATTTCTGAGGCAGCAATGCTGGATTAGACCCTCTTTTCTTTCCCTGCTGGTCAGGACTTTAGAGGCTGGTGATACCTACCTTCTTACTGCGACACTGGAACTGTTATTTGTGTTATAAAACAGGTGCCAACCACACAGCTCTCTCCAGAAAGCCAAAATTAGAGGAGTACTAAGGTGGGGGAGGAGAAGGACAGATGGATGTGGATCCTTTGTGAGCAGAGGCCTGACTAGCCTTTTGTTTTACGATGTATGAATGAACCTCTTTGTTGCCAGTTGAGGATGACTTGGTGTCCTACACTGTGTCTCTCAGATCTCCAGTCACTGATGTATGAGGCTAGTCAAAAGGCTGTAGAGGAATAACTGAGCACTGACATGTCCAGGATAATGGTAGAGCCTTCTAGCTCTTCTTTCTTAGGATAACAGGATGGAAAAGCATTCTTGTCAAAAAAATGAATGTTGCAGACATTTATAGCATAGGCGTGTGCCACCTGGGCTTTGAAATCCGATAAAAGAAGCTCTGACAGCGTGAGAGCCAGTTGGTTTTTGGAGAACTCATGTATTTCTCTTAATGGTGCTTTTCAAGGCCATGGGGTAGCCTAGCCTTACCACGGATGTAGGCTGTAGTTTCTCAATAAATTGTGATTCCATGATTGTTACACACTCGTTGCAAACCTGGGCCCATCAAGATGACAGGCAGATCACCATTCTGTTGATAAGAAAGCCATGGTTTTTCTGCTCTTGCATAATCATTGCATTATAACCTCTTGAAATTAAGCTTTTTATCTCTCTGATTTGATAGAAAAGGTTGCGGGTGTTTACAAAGACCTTCAGAAATTATCTCGTCTCTTTAAAGACCAGCTGGTTTACTCTCTTCTGGCTGCTGCCCGACAAGGTGAGAGAGATGATACTTAATTTTTGTGAATGGAAGAAAGGGAGGGAGTCTGTGCAAAGTCTTGAGGTAGAAGTGTTAGAAACAATTCAGGCAGCTGCTCAGTGGTGGGTATGTGGAGAGTAAGAAAAAAATGGACATTCTAAAGAAATTAATCTTTGTATTTTAAAATAAGTTAATATAATGATGATTTCCCATCTGTAATATTTGATTGCTCAAGATAAAAAAAAAACCAAACAAAACACCTCTTTCTACTCTCACTTAGGATACTGAGATGGAATGGCTGTTTTCCATACTTGGTGATGAGAACAACATGCCACAGACACTTTGTGGGAGTGGTTTTGTATTTTGGTCCATTTCTTTGTGAAACTATTATACGTAGGTCACCCTGAAAGTAATGTCTCCTATTTATTTCCATGTAAACTGCAACAGATGTGAAGAGCTCTATAACACTCTTTGATAGAGGAAATTCTTAGCTACAAAACACTGTTTTTCAACATAGTCACTGCCATTAGCTATGCATTTTCCCTAGCTATGACCAAGTGCCTGCATGCTATGCTGTCAAAAATCTGCACCAGTGGAGGAAACCCACTGTTTCACGGCTGCTGTGACAGCAATATTGCTAGGAAGAATGTTGCCCATGCAGTCTACCTTTCATTGGTCCAAACAGATGAAAATCAGAGGGCACCAAATCCAAACTGTACGATGGGTGAGGCAGGACAGTGCAGCCAAGATAGGCAATGTACTCCGCTGTGTTTAAACTGGCACGGGGCCTGACATTACCATGATGCAAAAGGTTGTCTTTGCTGTCCTGACTCTGCAAGTTGGAGCCTTCAGCTTAGTTACTGTTGTGATGTGTGGCATTGTGGATGTCAGCGTTGATGGTTTTTGCGCATCCCAGGAAATCCAGGAGGATCATCCCTTTCCTCGCTTTGCCCATTGAGGGCTGCATCTTGAACTTTTTTATTGATGTGAAATTCACGTATCGCTGCTCTATGAACTGCTGTTTTGACTCTGGCTCATAGTGGTGACACCACATCTCATGATTGATAATGGAACAGGAAGCTGTCACTGTCAGCCTGGTACTGATGCAATGGGACCTGACAGACTTTTATTCATTCCTTTTTCTGGTTCCTATATGAGCCTTGGCAGGGCCTGCCTGACACAAACTTCTCAATATTCCAGTGTTGCCACCATCTTTTCTAACTCCTTGAAGCTGACTCTCAGCTCTGTACATTGTTCCCTGGGTGTAACCCACTGATTTGCATGATGAGCTGGCAAAGACACTCTTCGTTTCATTGTGTGACAGCTGTGTGTGGCCATCCAGAACATGGCTTGCCTTTCACATCACAGTTGTCGCCTCACTGTACTCACATATACTATTTCGTCTCCATAAATGTTCAGCAAATGTTGATAAATGTCAGTGGGTGCAATTTTTTTCTGCATGGAAGAATTCAGTGACACACACCCTTGCTTCATACGCACTTCCATTTCAGATGCCATTTTGTCAGACGCCACATCTGCCGCACAGCAACAAAATGTAAGGGAATATTGGTGGGAAAGCTCAACCAGTAGAATTGGTTCAACAGAAAGTTCAACAGTAGAACTGCAGGCATGTCCAGCCCACAGGCTGCATGCAGCTTGGCATAGCTCATCCTGCAGCCACCCCTTACCCCACACCATCATGGCAGGCTCTTCCCTGCTAAGCGGTGCGGCCCAGCCCAGCCCTGGGCATGCACTCGTGGCTGAGCGGCAGCCAAGCATCGCTGTGCACTCGACACTGAATTCAGGACACAGGGGAGCCACATTGCAATGCTAACTGAAGTTATGGTGAATAATTTTAAGCATTTTGATACACTGGCTAAACTGTCCTGTGAACAGTGAAATACTTGCAGTTTTCTGTTTTGATAAAGAAATTTGAGAAGATTGCAAAAAAAAAAAATCAATTTTTTTTTCATATTTGCCATTTTTCTGTTTTCAGTTGACATAAATGCATTACTTGTGAATTTTCACGTGGAATGTATAAAATTGCAATCAGATATTGATTGTGTCTCTTTACTAGACTTTCCTAAGACCTATCTCAGCAGAGAAGAATACCTCTGCTTCACAATCACGCCTTATTCCTGTCATCCCTTTTTGGCAATGCATTACAGGAAGGATAAAATTTAATCAGAAATCTCTGATGAGCACCATGAACTTGTTAAGAATTGCAGCCAATTCATTGATTTGGACTGATGCATTAGTTTCACTGAAACAACATCAAATATCCCACTAGTTTTATGTTTTGTTGCTTTTTTTCTGTTACTTATATACATTAACTATATTATATATTTGATACGTGCCCCAAGACAATTCCTCTTTATTCAGTGTGGTCTACACAAGCCTGAATTTTGTACACTCCTGTTTTACCGCCTTACCGATATCTGCCTCTTAACGTCTTTGGACAACATAATAAAATATGGATAAATATTTTATGGAATAATATGTGTGTCTGGAAATAATATGTAATATGGAAAATAAAATAATGGAGGCACTAATTTTGGAGCAGCCCTCGTATTTGGAAGTCTGACCCCAAAAACAGTCTTCTTAGTAACTGGTTATCGAGGGCTTGGAAGGAATGGGAAGAAGTAATCCTAGCTGGTGTTTGTGAAGCAGTAGGAAATCAGGCTTTTTGTGTATAGATACTGCCATAAAAGAGTAGCTTAGTATTCTGAAGACACAGTGGAATTCCTTCTAGACTTCAGTGCGGGCAGGTTTGATGTGAAACATGTGCTGTGTATTTAATATCTTTTTTATGGACTCTTGTAATCGGGCAGACCTTTTTCCTTTAGCCTTTGTTCTGTGCAGCCTGTAAACATAGTTAGGCACGCAGCATGTTTCTTGGGTTTACAGCTGTCAGTGGTGTTCATTATAAAATGCCATTTGGCCTATTTCAAGAACTCCATAAATGTACTGCAAGGGGGAAGAGATGGGTTTTCTAAGAAGTCACGTCATGGTGCTCTTGGAGAAAAATTGTTTAACTGAGGCATCAAAGGGGAACGATTTAAGGGAAAGGTTATGATGTCCTTCTTTTCTTCAGGGTCATCAGCTTTGCACCATTTAAGTAATTCTTCTATTTCCTCCACTTTGTAGCTCTGAACTTGCCAGATGTTTTTGGGTTAGTGGTCCTCCCTCTTGAGCTGAAGCTTCGGATTTTTAGACTTCTGGATGTCCGTTCACTCATCTCTCTGTCTGCTGTTTGCCGTGATCTTTATGCAGCTTCAAATGATCAGCTTCTGTGGAGGTTTATGTATCTGCGAGATTTCAGAGGTAATGGCGATACACATTTCCTTCAATTTCATTCTCATGTGAACAAGGCTAATTAGGTCTTACATTTTGATTAGAGGTTCCTCAGGTAGCCACTCTTGATTTTTAAATACTGCCATCAAATAGTCATTAGTGATACTAACCAGTACCAGTGGACTAGATGTAATTCAGGTGGGTATTCTGTTTTCTCTCTTAAAAAATAGTAACAGTTGTCTGAGCCATTTCTCATGGACCATATAGTTCTGCCCATCGTGTGGTACAAACTTTTGTTGTTTTCATCTGTTGCTCTTGCTACTTAGATGTACTGGCTATTGCAGCTATTTGAGAGTAGAGAGAAGGGATATTCCTGCTAGAATTCCTCACAAGAGACTGAAGAAATAAGGTGGAAAAGAAAAACGCTGTTACAAATCAAAGATGGGAATAATATTCCTGGTATTCTCTACAAGTTTTGGAGATAGTATTTTATATAGAATGAGTAGATTACATACTGAATGGTCTTACAGCTTTATTTTTTAAAAACACACTATCCCTATGGAGGATGTATTGACCAGAGATGTTTTTTTCATCTCCTTCTGCATGTTCCCACAAATCCTTGGCATGAGTGCTACTTAAAAGAGGTTGCTCATTTTGACTTTCTGCTTCTCTTGTAGATCCCATTGCAAGGCCTCGTGACACTGACTGGAAAGAAGTAGGTGGCTTCTCTGTATAATCTCACTGAGATTAGTCTACATGGGAAAATTTCAGGGCTAAAACAGAGACTTTGGGAGGCTGTAGTTTTGAGTTAAGTTTTAGTTTAAAAGTGGTGTTCTGTAAAAACAAGTTGAGTTTGGTTGGAGTAGGAGAAAATGAACATCAATAAGAGACACTGAACCTTAAAATACTTTTGTTTCTGTCTGCAGCTATACAAGAAAAAGTTGAAACAGAAGAAGGAGGCCTTGAGATGGAGGCACATGTTTCTGCCCCCTACACCTCATCCAATTCCCTTTCATCCCAACCCATTTTATCCTAGTCCCTTTCCTCCCAACCCATTCCCATCAAACCCAATCTATCCCCCCATGATCATTGGAGAATATAGTGAGAGACCAACGCTTCTGTATATTGGAGACCCAATTAATTCACTCATTCCTGGCCCAGGGGAAGCACCAGGCCAGTTTCCTCCATTCAGACCACATTTTGACCCCATTGGTTCCTTGCCTGAGGCAAACCCTACGCTTCCAGGACGAGCTGGTCCCAATGACAGGTTTCCACCTAGACCCAGCCGGGGCCGCCCCACGGACGTTCGCCGTGCATTCATTTGATTGCTGTTTTCTCCCTCAGTGGATTTTCTAGTTCCTGAGCTTGCTTTCTAACTGCAGGACGTTGTAAAACCCAGGCACTAACATCTGCCTTCTCTTCAGATTGTGGCAAGAACTTGTTTGCATGGTAATGTTTTGATCCCAGAGTTAGGGTTTGTTAGTGTTCTGATAGTAGTGCTGTACCAGGCACTAAGGTCTCTTTCAAGATGGGCTATGACTTACAATACATGTTGTTCCCCTCCCACCTCTCCTCTTTAATCACCTGTGCTACTTAGAGACTAGAAGGATACTAAGTATTTGCTGCATCAGATAAAGAGCACTTTAAATACAAATCCTATCTTTTTCTGTCTTATTTGAAGAGTTTTATTAATTTGCCAGGAAAAAAATAGTTTGTTTCAAATCTACCTGGCTAATAATTTTTCTTAACAAAAAATCTACCACATCCCAGATAGAATAGGGTACTACCACTGCTGTGGTAGGTGTGTTTCCATAGGTTTTTTCAGAGATTGCATTTTCCTTTTTTTGTTAGGTAAAAAGTATTTTTATGTTGTTACTTAATACACAAAGAATACAGGGAAGGGATTTTTTGTTTTAAGTGGAAATATTAGAACGCAAATCAGTTCATTTTGCAAATAGCTGAGTGAAACCCATGCTACAGTGCAACTCAAAAGTCTGAACAGAAGCAGAGCAATTTTACAAAGAGCCAGCAGCAAAACTTTTGTCTTTTTCCTTGTTTGAACAGGTTGACTTTACAAATAAGTAGCTGTAGTACATGGCCGCATTTACTGTGCGTGAACTAAAATCGATGCAAAAATGAGTTTTTTCTGCCTGCCTAACTGAGGAATTAAACAGGTCGACCCAGCTGCAGTGGAAGTGGGAGCACAGCAGGAGAAACAACGAATTCTTACTTCAGTGAATTCCGTTTAATTTCATTAGAGCAGTGTCAAAAGTTATCTTGACAGAAGAAAACATGCTGTAGCATGTTAGAGCTTTCAAGTGTTGTCTTGTCAACTAATGAACAACTAACAACATCCCTGTTACAGTTTTCCTGATGAGATCTGCAGTTTGATACTGAAGCTCAATTAAAGGAAGACTGGAATAACTAAACTTTGTTAGAACTTTTCATTTCATATTTTCCTTCTTTTTAAGATGGCTTATCTCAGTGTTTCTGAAAATGTAAATGGTACCGATGACTGTTGTGACGGCTGATATTGCTTTCTGCAATCCTTTTGGAATTCTAACAATGGCAATGAATTACATTTCCTATTAAATACAAGCTGTTTCATCAGTTATACTTTTGTGCTTTTTCAGGTGACATTTCAGTGATTCGTCTTTTGTTTCACAAATCAGCTGACTTCAGTTGGGTCAGGAGGTTCTCCTGTTAACTCTGTGGGAGTAAAATAATGCTTTTTTTTTTTTTCTTTTTTCTCTCAAATGTTGTGTTTCTTTTTCTCTCTTTTCCTGCTTCAAAGCAACAGCAGAGCAGTGCAAGTCCTGCCATTATTGATCCCACATAAGTATCAGTAGAGCCTGAGGGCAGTGGTTCCCCTTCAATATCAAAATTAGCTTTAATATTTTCTGAAGTGCTTGAATTGCCTTGTTCCAGTGGAATTTTCATTTAAGTCTGTAGTCAGGCACTGTGGAGCTAACAGTGATTCTTTAAAGGAAAATGGAAGTCTACACTGTGTGTCTTGCACCATTTTGCCCTTGTGATCTGTCCTTCAGAAATGCATACATAATACTCGGGCAAGGTCATACAAATTTAATAGATACTATTTATCCTGGATTTTGACACTGGGACATTTGTTTGAGAATAAATCAGGCATCATTACAGGTACGCCAATGAGTGACCTGAAAGGTGTTCCTTCCCTTTGTTCATTTGCACCATATGAAGGCATTGTGAGCTAAAGATAAAGGAATTTGCCTTATCCCAAACTGTTGAGTTTCCTACGGAGGAATTTCCTTAATTCATAAAACAGCACATGAAATACAATGTGAATATCTCAGGACCAACAGTATAAAATGATATGACAGAACAAAGGAAATACTTGAAAACCAGCCACTTGGTTATTCATCAGCTCTAAGGCAGGTGTAGGTGTCCTTGCTGTTTGCAAACTCTACAGAAGAGACACAAAGGTGAAATGCTTGAGTGGCCACCATTCCTTACCTGTACTGTTCATTTGCATGCACTGCAGTCGCTTGGAAATTGGGAACTGTTAATCCTTTCTTTTTTTAATTTGCTTTACCTTATTCATGGAACTTCAAAGGACCATATTAAATGACCTAGTCATATGCAAGGTATAAGGTTTTACAAACCCATCTGTGATAAGTGAAAGAAAGTACAGCTGCAGTCATCGGAGCAGAACTGTTACTCTAAGCCTTAGCTTTATACAAGATGTTTAATTGCATGAGAACATGAGTTACATTCCTCTTGAAATACCACACCTAGATATTACAAGAAAGACATGATGTTTTTTCAGTCTGTGTCTAAACAGCAGGATGTAAATTCATTTTCCAGGTGGTGAGTACGGGTGGGTGTCTTAGTTGTGTTCCAGCTCCATCTTGGGCTGATTCCAAACGCACGCATCTATTCATGTTTCCTGGTTTCCATGTGAAGAAAATGAAAGCATGCTCTGACCAGGTGTTCAGTTTTCACAGCAGTAAGACCCCAAGGCATGCTGTGGGCCATGTCTACACTGTGATTTATACGTAACTTCCATTTACAACTTTTCTGTTGCCTTCTCAATTTCCTTTAACTGCTGCATTTGGGTACCTAAATAATGCTTAGATATACCTTAGTGCACCATTCATAACAAGAATATACACCTTTTATTACCTCTGTCTATTGCTTTGTTAGACTGTAGGGATTTTAGAATAGCCCGACATCAAAGGTGGTGAATCTGCTGCTCGCCACAACATCTAGTGTGAGAGTGCCCTAGTTGTACTGTTGGAACATTTATAGGATATGGTACAGAGTTTCTTCTCTGTAATTCAGGATGTCAGCTCAGTGTGTTCTTTAAAGCACTTTTGTGAACGGAACAGAAAATGCTTTTCAGCAACTATAGGGGTAGGAAAGATAAGCTGGTAGTGCCTGTTGCTGTTAGGCATTTTTGGAGGCTGGATCAAGGGGAGAGCCTGTTCTGTCTGCTTGTCCCTTGAAAGGTGCCAGCTGGGAGCTGAAGGCAGATGAAGAGATCTGAGTCGCTGCTGGCTCTCAGGTGAGCAGTGCTGTCCTGTTGCAGTATTCAGTTGGAGGACAGTCCTGCTGTGTTTTAAGTGCAGCATCCACAAATGATCCAACTGTTGTGATTATCTGGAGTCAATTGAAGGGGCCATGCCTTACCAGTAGTAGTTACCTTTTTTTTTTCTTTTCTTTTTGGTCTGAGTGTGTGTGTGTGTGTGTATGTGTAGAATGTATTGATAAGAGAGATATACAAAGATCAGTAGGATAGAACAATTGAGGATTGTGGCAGTAAACTGTTACATTTGTCTGCATTTCTGGTGACTGCTTAGTAGGGCAAGACATAAGCCATGCTGAGGGAAGTGTTAGCGAAGGAAATCCTCTTCCACCAGAGTTGTATTACCTCTTGTCCATATAGTGGTGCTTGTTAATCTGCTATTGTTCTTGCCAGTGGAACAGTGCTCGAAGTCATTTGTCACTCTTTTATTGCTCCTGGAGATTGCAAAACAGCAGGGTCTGTTTTCTTTCTCAGACAATGACGTGTTTATGATGCTGCATTGTAAGCTGCTTAGCAAACTTGGAAGGACAAAACAGAGCTGGAAAAAAAAAAGGATAAATCATAAGGGAATTGAGTGGTTCTATAGTTCTGAACTTGAGATATAAATCATTGGTCCAGATGAGTCTCTTCAGAGCCTTCCAAGCTGGAAAAGCCATGCAGTTACTTGCCTGAAAGTGCACAGGTCACAAAAGCAATTATATTTGTGCAGGTTTGTTCAGATTGGTCGTATTAGGTCCAGATGACTGCATCAGATCTAGATGTTCATTACAGGTGCTGAAGGAATTGCTCGTTTGGCTCCATTCCCACCAGTGAATCATGAGATCCAAGATGGCAAACACTGCTGTTGTTTTTTCCAATTTGGGGACCTCTTTAAGTGACAGCTAAGATCTGTGCCTCTGGCTCAGATGTTTGTAACTAACTTACTGACCTTTCCTTCATGGGTATTCCTAAGTGCAACTGATGTGAACTTGCAAAGGGAAACATAAAGTCAGAAGCCTGGCCTTGAAGCTGTGTGTATGAGTTGTGGCTCAAATAATTGACAGAAGAATGGCTTGCCTGCTTCCTCTTGGAGCCCTGCCTCGCGTATGTCAGGCGATGGGATGGGGACTGGTGCTTTCATCAAATGTATTATAAATAGAATTAGTATAATGCACAGGGTGAGCTCTCAGCTGGTAGAAGCAGCCATAGTTAGATTGATTTCTGCAGTTTTTTTCAGTTATGAATGTGGTTTGTGTCATTCCTGTTTTTGCTGTGTCCTAGTTGCAGCATGTTTGTATACAGCTTCATTCTATATTACAGTCTTAAGAAAAGCACAGCCAGCAAAAATCCGTCTCTGTCTTCTCCAGAAGGTCCTTACCTGCTTGGGGCAGTCACATACATGCCTTCCCATTGCTTGGTGTCTCTGGATGGACCCCAGCTCATCTTATTTCTAGATGACAGTTTTCCTGTTCCATCACAGGTCTGTCACCTTGGTTCGTTTTGCACTCACCCCAGTCAGTGGGAGTTCAAGGAGTGAGACAGGATTTCACTCCATTTCTCTGTCCAATCTGCATTATGGAACACTCAGCACCCAAGTATGTGCACTTCATCAGCTCTGCTATTAATTAAATATGTTCCCAGGGGACATTCATAGCCAGATGTGATTAAGCCACCAAAGTGGATTTGTGTGGATTGTCGATTTGAACTCTACAGTGTTTCCTGGGTCAAAGAGAGAAGTTGTTTTCTGTGTGTGTTTGTGTTTGGAAAGCCCATTTCTCAGGTTATTTTGGATTTGAACGTAACATTTTTTTCTGAAGACTTGGGAATCACATGCTGGGGACATAAATGCAAGGCATGAAAAGTACATTTTAACTGCTATGAGCAGAATGATCTGGAACAAACTATCAGTCCATCTGGCTAACCTGCTCATGTGATCTTTGGCAGCTACTGATGCATGGCACTGTATCTTATTTGAATGTAGTTTACTCTGAAAAATGACTTTAAGTAAAGTTGGTATTCTGAAGTTCCATAGTTCACTGTATTTCCATACTCAGGCTTTATCAGTCTGTGACTACTTGTTTTTTTGCACATCTGTTTCTGAAATAATCCTATATTCTTTTTAGCTCAGCCTCAACAAGGATTCTGTAATTGGAAGTTAGTGATTGTATGGACTATATACAAACCAAAATAAAATCTAGTTTTCACTGTCATAACTGTAGTCTCCACAGGGATTAGCAGGAGTAAAATTTGATTTACAACTCAGTCACTTGAACAAACATAATTCTGATTATGCACAAAAAACAATGAAATGATGCCGCTTTTATACAGTCACCTTTCAGGCCGTCATTAGAATATCTTCTTCGTATTAAAACAACTGTAGTTTTCTCAATTCCTTTTACCCAGGTATTAGCTGTAAATTGCTGGGTACCACTGAGTATATTCCAATATGACATTTGCTATACAAAGAGTGAGGGCTGGCCGAAGCACAAACCCAGCTGCAGGGCTGTTAATCGGAAAACAGGCTAGCAAATGATTTCCTCAAGTTGCGGATGGTCTCAGCCTTTGCTTCATCTTCATTGGCATTCCCCCTCTGAGATGACTCAGATATGCTGAAGGTGTTTGTCAGGGACTGCGATTTGCTGAAATGGAAAACAGAGTTGAAACTCAGACTCAGCAGGAGAAGGTGCTTTTTTACAGCTGTTTACTGATGCTTTGTGCTTCACTGCAGAGACACTCCAGAAAAAAAACAAAAAAAGCAAGGAGAATCTCCATATGCTAAGACATCCAGGAACTGGGGAGAACGGGAGAGTAGGGGATGGGTGGCTCCAGTATCACAGTCCAGAACTCTTAACTGTTTATGAAGGCATTTGATTAAAAACCTACAATTGCCATTTGGTGCTACTCTTCCAACAAATACTGAGATCATGTAACTGTTAATACAGAAGAGTAGATTTATACTGAATATTCATTTATACTGAATTTATACCTTTCTTTCACCAGCCACACCATGAATGTTGATCCATTTTGGGACTGCACAAAGTGGTAGCCGTGTCCCATGCAAAGTGTGCTGTTGC